TGGACCTGTACTCATAGATGAGACTGGAGAGTGTACGTCTTTCCACTTCAGTCCTGCAGTCCTGGGGGTCTTCGGCGGAGCTGGTTCCATATGCGACATCTCACCCAAGCTGGACCACCTAAGGAAGGAAACGCGTTCCTTATGGACAATCCTCTGTGGGAATCTGTTCTTACGCCCATGAGATTGCCCCTTACTCTCGTGGGAAGCCTTGTAAGAGGATTCCTTGGGCTTTGGTGGTAAAGATTCTTCATAGAATATCAGGGTTGGAAGGGACCTCAGGAAGTCATCTAGTCCAACCCCCTGCTCAGAGCAGGACCAATCCCCAACTAAATCATCCCAGCCAGGGCTTTGTCAAGCCTGACCGTAAAAACTTCTAAGGAAGGAGATTCCACCACCTCCCTAGGTAACCCATTCCAGTACTTCACCACCCTCCTAGTGAAAACGTTTTTCCTAATATCCAACCTAAACCTCCAGCACTGCAACTTGAGACCATTACTCCTTGTTCTGTCATCTGCTACCACCGAGAACAGTCTAGATCCATCCTCTTTGGAACCCCCTTTCAGGTAGTTGAAAGCAGTTATCAAATCCCCCCTCATTCTTCTCTTCTGCAGACTAAACAATCCCAGTTCCCTCAGCCTCTCCTCATAAGTCATCTGCTCCAGCCCCCTAATCCCTCCGCTGGACTCTTTCCAATTTTTCCACATCCTTCTTGTAGTGTGGGGCCCAAAACTGGACACAGTACTCCACATGAGGCCTCACCAATGTCAAATAGAAGGGAATGATCACGTCCCTCGATCTGCTAGCAATGCCCCTACTTATACAGCCCAAAATGCCGTTAGCCTTCTTGGCAACAAGGGCACACTGTTGACTCATATCCAGCTTCTCGTCCACTGTAACCCCTAGGTCCTTTTCTGCAGAACTGATGCCTAGCCATTCGGTCCCTAGTCTGTAGCAGTGCATGGGATTCTTCCGTCCAAAGTGCAGGACTCTGCACTTGTCCTTGTTGAACCTCATCAGATTTCTTTTGGCCGATTCCTCCAATTTCTCTAGGTCCTTCTATATCCTATCCCTACCCTCCAGCATATCTACCACTCCTCCCAGTTTAGTGTCATCTGCAAACTTGCTGAGTGTGCAATCCACACCATCCTCCAGATCATTAATGAAGATATTGAACAAAACCGGCCCCAGGACCGACCCTTGGGGCACTCCGCTTGATACCGGCTGCCAACTAGACATGGAGCCACTGATTACTACCCGTTGAGCCCGACGATCTAGCCAGCTTTCTATCCACCTTATAGTCCATTCATCCAGCCCATCCTTCTTTAACTTGCTGGCAAAAATATTGTGGGAGACCGTACCAAAAGCTTTGCTAAAGTCAAGGAATAACACGTCCACTGCTTTCCCCTCATCCACAGAGCCAGTTATCTCATCATAGAAGGCAATTAGGTTAGTCAGGCATGACTTGCCCTTGGTGAATCCATGCTGACTGTTCCTGATCACTTTCCTCTCCTCTAAGTGCTTCAGAATTGATTCCTTCAGGACCTGCTCCAAGATTTTTCCAGGGACTGAGGTGAGGCTGACTGGCCTGTAGTTCTCCGGATCCTCCTCCTTCCCTTTTTTAAAGATGGGCACTACATTAGTCTTTTTCCAGTCATCCGGGACCTCCATGAGTTTTAATCGCCATGATCGCCTGAGTTTTCAATCTGGGATTGCCATGAGTTTTCAAAGAGTTTTCAAGGCCTGTGCTTGGAGAGGCACTGCTGGTTGGTTGAGGCTGATGTACACGGAGGGAGGGTCTTCCAGGTTCAGGTCAGAGCAAGGTCTCAGTCTCCTCCATCAGGAACGCTTTTAGTCAGAGCTCTGATCTTTCTAATTCTGGTTGCGAAGGATTGACAGATACTGAACTTCAAAGACATAGGTGCGTCATCCAGGCAGTACAGGCACCATTGATGCTCGTCATTGATGGAGAAGGAGTGAGGGCAGGAGATGCAATTTTTGAATCCCGGGACTCTGAGCATAGTCCTGGGACTGGGGAACATTTTCCCTGAATGGCGGGTGGGGGAACTATCCTATGCTAACTATAACTACTAAGCTAAGATATAAAAACTATTTACAAAGAGTTTACTTTACAGGTTATGCGCAGAGTGAAGGAGGACACAATTCTGACTCAGGTCATGTGCTGATAAGAAGGAACTGAAGAGGTGTCTACCCATATTGCCTCTTATACTCTCGGTTGGGAGCACGAGGGAAGCTACTGAGCATGTGCGGGTCAACGAATATTGCGTTGAAGAATTTCTGGACTCGGGCACATGGCATGCATGCATATTCCATGTGTAGAATACACAAAGGGATCATCACTCAACAAACATACAATTATTTTAATCTTTCATTAACTGATGTTTGTTCTGAGTTTTGATGATGTAAAGTGCTATTATGTTTTCACAGGAACTGTCATACCAAATCAGACCAGTGATTCCTTTAGTTCCAGACCCTTGTTTCTGACAGTGGCCAGTCCCAGACATTTCAGAGGAAATGTAAGAAACCTCAAAATGGACAATTAAAGACTAACCTGCCTTACGGATAAATCCCTTCCTAACCCAGAAAGTTAGTGGTTGCTTTATGCTTTGAAGCACAGAGTTATATCACATCTAATTTGTCTTTAAACCTATCTAACACAACTGTGGATGATCTCATTAGCCATACATTTATTACTTTTTGCATTATTACTAAACTCTTGGCCTCAATGATATTTAGTGGCAATTAGTTCCACATGTTAATAATACAGTGTGTAAAAAAGTATTTCCTTTTACTTCTGTTTTAAATGTTACTTTTCAATTTCATTGGATAGCCCCTTGTTTTTGTTCTTTATACCATTCATTATGGGGGGAGCTGGTATTTACCCCCTAAATTAAGTTGCCTAACATACTTTGCATTATGAAGGATTCTTGCGACCTTTTCTTTGAGATGATCTCACAGCTCATTTGTTTGTAGGAGTCCTTTGATATTTGGAAGGGGGAAATACCCTCAGGCTAAAGCAGTGCCTGTTCTTTGTTCCATGAAGAAATTAGTTACTTGCTGTACCTCAATTTTTGGGTGCCCAGTTTAAGACGCCCAAAGAAGCATAATTTTCAGAAAATGCTGAGTACCCTCTTCCCAAAGGTCAAGATCCTTTAACATATCTCAAGTTAGGCACCCAAAAATTAAGACACTCAAAATCATTAATCACTTTTGATAACAATAGCATTTATATAATGATGTAATATTTTCAGTATTCTTTTAACCCATTCTTTATACATCCTAATGTTATGTTTACTTTTTTGAGTGCCACTGCACATTCAGCAGAGGTTTCTAGTGACTGGCCACACTGACACCAAGGTCTTTTTTCTCGGTAGTTTCAGTTAATTTAGAACCCAGCAGATTATTCCTTCCAGTATGCATTACTCCTTGGATTTGCCAGTACTGAATTCCATCTGCCACACTGTGCAGTTCATTTGCCTAACTTTGTTAGGTGCCTCTGAAGTTCCTCCTTGAAGTCTTCTCAAGTTTGAGCTAACTCAAATTATTTTGGTTTTGACATCTTATTGTTCACTGAAAAGGAAAGTATTAATGAGAGCCTGTGGACCCAGCTGGTCTTGCCCTATTAAACCTGCAGCAGATGCCAGGCATAGAGAGGGGAGCTAAAAAGAGGAGACCTAGGAGAGCAGAGGTCTGCTTCTCCTGATGTGAGAGAAGTCTGGCTGCAGCCGAAGACTAAGGCCTGGTCCACACTAACCCTCCACTTTGGACTAAGGTACGCAAATTCAGCTACGTTAATAACGTAGCTGAATTCAAAGTACCTTAGTCCGAACTTACCGCGGGTCCAGACGCTGCAGGCAGGCTCCCCCATCGATGCCGCGTACTCCTCTCGCCGAGCTGGAGTACCGGCGTTGACGGCGAGCACTTCCGGGATCGATTTATCGCGTCTAGACAAGACGCGATAAATCGATCCCAGAACATCGATTGCCTGCCGCCGGACCCGGAGGTAAGTGTAGACGTACCTTTAGGTAGCTTGCTGGTTGGACAAGCCTACTGGTGGAATGAATGACCAGACTCTGGGAGACCAGCCAAAATACTATCTGAAGATAAGCCCCAAATATAAAGGTGGGATCCCACTGAGGGTTCTTTGGATACCCGTTGTTGTGAAGTTGTGGTTTTTCCTGATTTCTTTTGGACCATAACACTCCAAAAGGAGGAAGACTGAAGTTTGCTTTGGCTGGAGGATTAATGCACCACTACACTGGACCTCACAAAAGAGCAAACCTACAAGTGGAGACCTGCAGCTGGGTGATTTGTACCCTGATGGGCTACAAGGGGGCCACTGCAGAGACAAAACCAATCAGAGCCTTTACCCTTTACTTTGTTAACATCTTGAAAATATGCTGGTATATTAGAGGCATGATTTTGTCATACAGAAGCCGTGCTTGTCTGTCTCTCTCTCTCGCTCTCTCTCTCTCTCAGCATGTTCAGCTATATATTCTAAAATTCTATTTTTAATTATTGTTTCAGTCAACTTTCTCCTAGAGAAGTAAGGCTCACTAGTCTAGAAGTCCCTGTACCATCCCTAAAGTCTTTTTTAAAGACAAGTATTGCCATTTGCTAGCCTCTAGTCCTCTGGAATAGCAGCTGATCTTCATAAAAGATGGCATATTTTTATTAGCAGCTCAGCCACTTCATTATTAAGTTTCTTCAGATATCCTCCATCTTCAGAAATCCTGGTAATTTGTTACTCTTTAATTTATCAATTATTTCCACCTTTTCCTCATTTGACATCTTATTTTATGACTGTGTCTCATATCTATTATCTGAATAGAATAATTCCAAGGTAGTATCTCCCCAACATCCTCTGTGGTGAAGACTAATGCAAAGAAATAGTTTAGCTCCTCTGCAACATTCTTGTCCTCCTTACTTACCACCTGGCAGTACATAAGACCAAAAGAAAAGAAAAAGACTACAGAGCTTACTTTAACTGGCTCATGCTGCATCACAGGTGCTTGCATAGCTATGGCACTCTGGGCATAAACTTGGTGATATGCTGCTTGAACTCCATGATCAGAATATGGCTGTCAAAAAAACAAACATTTTTTATAAAAAGATTTTTAAGAGTACAAAAGCATGTTCTATATTTGTTTGTTTTTGTAAACTCTCATGATTTAAACTGCTAAAAACTGTGGACTAAGGTAACCTGAGTACTGAACATTAATCAGTGATTTTTTTAAAATTTATTTTTTTCCCCATTGCAGAATAGATTTTGGTAAATCATTTAATATCAGGTTTCAGAGTGGTAGCCGTGTTAGTCTGTATCAGCAAAAAGAACGAGGAGTATTTGTGGCACCTTAGAGACTAACAAATTTATCTGAGCATACGCTTTCATGGGCTAAAGCCCACTTCATCAGATGCATGCAGTGGAAAATACAGTAGGAAGATAGATAGATATACAGAGAACATGAAAAAATGGGGGTTGCCATACCAACTCTAATGAGACTAATCGATTAAGGTGGGATATTATCAGCAGGAGAAAAAAAACCTTTTGTAGTGATAATCAGGATGGCCCATTTCAAACAGTTGACAAGAAGGTGTCAGTAACAGTAGGGGGAAAATTAGCATGGGGAAATAGTTTTTAGTTTGTGTAATGACTCATCCACTCCCAGTCTTTATTCAAGCCTAATTTAATGGTGTCCATTTTGCAAATTAATTCCAGTTCTGCAGTTGGAGTCTGTTTTTGAAGTTTTTTTGTTGAATAATTGCGGGTCTGGTGCTGGCTAAAGAGGCGAATGGGATTGTAAACTAAGAAAACGTTTTTTTGTTTCCGGTTCCTCCTGCATTTGGAGAAGCAGGACCATGCACATTCCTTGTAAATAAACAAGATTGCACCAAAGAAAATATCAGATCCCATCATCAATTTCAACCCCCAACCGGAACATCCCCAGGGCCCTAAACTTTGACTATCTGCTTGGGTCTGAAAGGGGCAACAATCCATAAGTTTGCTTTGCGTGCTCCCTAGCTGCAGGCCTTCCCTCCGGTGGGGCCTTCTGATACCTAAATGTAAGGGGACTGTTGCCCCTTACTAACATTCAGTGGGGGTGTTTTGGTTGGCTAGCTCCCAGCACTGAAAGGGGAGGGGTTGATGGGAAATCAGGACCCTGAGACTGACAGTCCCCAGGAACAATGGCGAGAGGCCAATGCTCCAGGTCAGCCTGATTGACAGGGTGGGCAGGCTAATCAGCATGCCAGGAGGCCAGGGTGGGTCCCGTCCTCCGTGTGAGTTGGAATTGCCTGGGTCAGACTGAGTGGGGCCGAGCTAAGGAGAAAGCAGGGGCCCAAGCTGAGCTGGAGAGCAGAACCGTGCCAGATCCAGAGGGGCCAGAGATGCAGCCCAGGGAGAGCAGATCCTGTGCTGGGAGCAGAGCTGCAGCCACAGAGCCAGAGACGCAGCCCAGGGAGAGCAGATCCTGTGCTGGGAGCAGAGCTGCAGCCACAGAGCCAGGTGTGGTGAGCAAGTGGGGCCAGGCAAGGGGGGACCTTGGGCAAAGGGCCCAGCACAGAAAGACACCCCTAGCCAAGGGCCCTTGCAGGCCAGACCGGGGGGGATGGGACCGTAACCTGACGGGGGGCTGACGCTGGGAAGAAGGGTCCCACCACTCAAAGCCCGGAGGTGTGTGGCCACCACCATTGCAAGTGTCCAACCCGCAGCATACCTGCAGCACAGCCAGGGCCTGAGAAGGAAATCTGGGATCTACAAGGAACAGACTGCGAAGTGCCCTGATGTCCAGAGACACTGTTTGTGATGTTCCCTGCCACAGAGCGGGGTGATGTGTTTTCCTTTAACCTTTCCCATTTTTCCTTGTTCTTTTCTTTAGATTAATTGTTAATTAAACAACTTGTATTTGCTTTAAATTGTATGGAATAATCAGTGGGTCTGGGAGGTGCCCAGTGCAGAGAGGGTACCCCGGAGTGGGGACACCCTAGCCCCTGTCCTAGGTGACCACAGCAGGGTTGGGGGTTGAACCCCCCAGGAATCCTGGGTCCAGCCTTGTTGGGGTTACGAGGACTCTGCCAGACAGGAGAGTGGAAGGGGAGCCCTCAAGGGCAGGGAGGCCTCTGGGTAAAGGGAGTGGGAGCGAGGACTCAGATCCTTTCGCTAGCCCACTTCACCGGGGTAGTGCAGAAGCCAGGAAAGTTCCCCACAATAGCGGGACCATTCCCCCGCTTACATAAACACAATCAAGCTGCTGAGGTTTTCAGGCTCAGGAGTGGAAGAATCAGGAAAGTATCAAAGGGGTAGCTGTGTTAGTCTGGATCTGTAAAAGCAGCAAAGAGTCCTGTGGCACCTTATAGACTAACAGACATATTGGAGCATGAGCTTTCATGGGTGAATACCCACTTCTTCGGATGCATGTCAGAATCAGGAAACGCTTCCTCAGCTGCTTTTGTAACTGATGACCTGGAAATGGAATGCTCTCGAAATCTGCTATCCCGTTAGTTATTTCTCGTGATTGTTTTCATCACTGCACTGTTCCTGTCTGTGAGTAAGTGTGCACTAACTCTGGGTGAATGAGTGGGTAATTTAAAAAAAACAAACTTCCCTCATCTCCATATTTTAAGTAGAAAATTGACATAGTACTCAGTTTATTTTTTCGAACTAAGACTTCAGTGCTTCCTAATTTTAAAGAAAGTGGAGTATTTATCAAACTTTTGGATAGTAGAATTTTATTCCTTCTGTCTCTCGGAAGATGGGAGCTAGATCATAACTTGTCATAACTGTGTGCTAGATTCATGGTGCTTCTCTAGAATTGTTCATAGAAAACATGCTTCCTTCCAAATGAGTGCTACATTTGTGAAGTCTGGAGTGGACAAGCTGTTCATTTTATATTGTAAGTCATTTTAACTCCTATGTAAGTGATAAATATTATTATAGTCTACACGTGTTCACACACTCTGGTTCTGTTCCTATTGATTACACATAATTTGACAGGAGAAAATAGCTTATGTCTCTCTAGTTGGATTAACGTATTGTAGCCATGTCAGTCCCAGGGTGAGGTAATATCTTTTACTGGACCTACTTCTGTTGGTGAGAGAGAGCTTTCGAGCTACCCAGAGCTCTTCTTCAGAGGCCTTGGCTACACTTGCCCACAGCGCTGTACCTCACTCCCCATCCACACTGGCAAGGAACGTACAGCGCTGTGTCTCCCTGGCTACACCGCTGCAGGTACCCCACCTCCCCAAGAGGAATAAGAGATGCAGCGTAGGGGCTACAACTCCTGGGTGTCAGTGTGAACGAGGAGTTAACTTGCTGCGCTGTGATAATCCCCTTATCAAGTGGCCACTCTTCATTGTTGTGATCGGCTCCAGGAACACGGAAGTGCCGTTTCAAAGCTCCGTACCAGAGAGAAAAAGCAAAAATTTTGCTGTTTACTTTGAGTGAATGAGAAGCAGGGGGGTCGGAACTTGCAAGGCAGCGTGCTGACACACTCTCAGCACCCCAAAACCCACTCTCTCCCCACACACTCCCTGTCACACTCCACCCCCCCCCTTTTGAAAAGCACATTGCAGCCACATGAATGCTGGGATAGCTCCCCATAATGCACCGCTCCCAATGCAGCTGCAAATGTGGCCACGCCAGTGCGCTGTCAGTCTGCAGCGCTTTCCCTACTCAGCTGTACGAAGGTGGGTTTAACTCACAGCACTCTACAGCTGCAAGTGTAGCCATACCCTGAGTGTCACTGCTAAATACAAGGTGGAACAGATTATTTAGCATAAGTAAATAACATATTTCAAGGGACCATTCAAGGTGAAGTGGCCTGTTAACACCCTTCCAGTCATAGGAAGGAAAGGAGGGGAGACAAATGGGGGAGGGGGAAGAGAGCAGTGTTAGTGGTTTACAGATTGTTGTAATAAGCCATAAATCCAGTGTCTCTCTTCAGTCAATGAGTTTTAGTGTCTAGCAAAGTTATAAGCTCCCAGGCTCATCTTTTGAAAGTGTTATGGGGGTTTCCTTTGACAATAAGTACCAATCGGTCAGCTATAGAGTGAGCGTTTTGTGAAAACTATTCACCCAGAGGTGATGTGGCGTTTTGGTCTTTTATCATTTTCCTATGTGAGTTCACTGGAGAGTGTAGTGATTGTCTGGTTTCACCCACATAGTTGCTATACTGGGGCATTTAGTGTACTGGATGAGGTACACCATATGTTGTGATAGGTATGCGTAGGACCCATGGATCTTGAAAGGTTTTTTGTGGAGGGTGTTGATCATTATAGCAGCAGAGATATGTTTGCAGGTTTTGCATCTGTTGTTCTGGCAGGGTCTGGTGCCACTTTGAGTTGGTGTCTCCTGGTCTGTGGAGAGCTTGCTTCTAATGATGAGGCTGGAGAGGTTGGGGGATTGTTTGAAGGCCAGAAGACAGAGTTCAGGAAAGATGTCTTTCAGGATGTGGTCCCCATCAAGTATGGGTTGTAGATACCCTGTGTGGGTTCTAGTGTGGGGTGGTAGGTGACAGCTACGGGTGTGCATTTGGAGGGGGTTTTATTTCTGAATTGTAACAGGTTCTCTCAGGGTATTTGGGTGACCCATTCCAACAACACATCTTTACAACCATCTACAAACACCGACACCCCCCCCCGCACCCGCTTATACCCCCATGATTATTTTTCTCCCTATGATTGGAGAGGTGTTAACAAACCACTTCACCTTGAATGGTCCCTTGAAATATGTGTTAACTACTTATGCTAAACTCTCTGTTCCACCTTGTATTTAACAGTGACACTCTGATTCATTTCCAAGATCTGAAGAAGAACTCTGTGTAAACTTGAAAGGGTGTGTCTCTCTCACCAACAGAAAGAGGTCCAGAAAGATATTACCTCAACCACCTTGTCTGTCTAGTTGGATGAACAACTTTTTTCAGTCTTCCGCCTCCCTCCCCTCTTTCGTGTGTGTGTGAACTATGGTGTTTGATTCAGTTGAATTTAAGCTTAAGAAGCAACAAGTGCTATTGCTTGATATGCAGTAGTAATCCTTTTATAGTTATAATAAACTACCATGAAATGTCAAGGAAAAACATAAAAGGTTAAGATTCTATCAAAAATATTTAACATCCAGAATATTTTTCTGTAACTTTAAGGTGAAATTAACCATTATTAACTACACCTCTACCCCAATATAACGCAACCCGATATAACACGAATTCTGATATGACGCGGTAAAGCAGCGCTCCGGGGGGGCGGGGCTGCGCGCTCCGGCGGATCAAACCAAGTTCGATATAACGCGGTTTCACCTATAACTCAGTAAGATTTTTTGGCTCCTGAGGACAGCGTTATATCGAGGTAGAGGTGTACTAATATGGGCTTTCTTTTCTAAACGACACTAAAGTTTTTAGGGGCCTGATCCAAAACCTATTGAAGTCAATGGATATACTGAGACAGGCCCAACAAAGAAAGTAACAGAATGCCACTAGCTGTCACCTACAGCCCCCAACTAAAACCTCTCCAGTGCATCATCAAGGATCTACAACCTATCCTGAAGGACGATCCCTCACTCTCTCAGATCTTGGGAGACAGGCCACTCCTCACCTACAGAAAGCCCCACAACCTGAAGCAAATACTCACCAGCAACCACACACCACACAACAAAAACACTAACCCAGGAACCAAACCCTGCTACAAACCCCGGTGCCAACTCTGTCCACATATCTATTCAAGGGACACCATCATAGGATCTAACCACATCAGCCACACCATCCGGGGCTCGTTCACCTGCACATCTACCAATGTGATATATGCCATCATGTGCCAGCAATGCCCCTCTGCCACGTACATTGGCCAAACTGGACAGTCTCTACGCAAAAGAATAAATGGACACAAATCAGACGTCAAGAATTATAACATTCAAAAACCAGTCGGAGAACACGTCAACCTCCCTGGTCACTCAATTATAGACCTAAAAGTCACAATTATTCAACAAAAAAACTTCAAAAACAGACTCCAACGAGAAACTGCAGAACTGGAATTAATTTGCAAAATGGACACCATTAAATTAGGCTTGAATAAAGACTAGGAGTGGATGAGTCATTACACAAACTAAAAACTATTTCCCCATGCTTATTTTCCCACTACTGTTACTGACACCTTCTTGTCAACTGTTTGAAATGGGCCATCCTGATTATCACTACAAAAGTTTTTTTTTCTCCTGCTGCTAACAGCCCACCTTAATCGATTAGTCTCATTAGAGTTGGTATGGCAACCCCCATTTTTTCATGTTCTCTGTGTGTGTTTGTGTGTGTGTGTGTTGTATATATACACATACACACATACATACACTCTTCCTACTGTATTTTTCACTGCATGCATGTGATGAAGTGGGCTTTAGCCCACAAAAGCTTATGCTCAAATAAATTTGTTAGTCTCTAAGGTGCCACAAGTACTCCTCGTTCTTTTCACTTCATATCACACACTTGTTTATCAATGCTACCCAGTGCACACACCTTTCTTCCTAACCTGTAAGCACATTAAAGAGATTAATTTCTGTACTATGAATCCAGTTTACTCATAACTGTAAAGGAATAGTGTATAAATTTATTAGATTAATACTGAAGCTCCGTAACCAATATTTTTGGCTTGTTTTAAAAATATTTACTCAGGAAAGATGCAGAATGCATTTTTCTTCAACAGGTGAATTGTGTACATGTAGCTTCCCCTAATATCAATAGACTATGTACCTGTGGATTGAGGGCATGATACAGCCATGTTTTCCTAAATTAATTCTGGTTTTATTTGTAGTTCATCGGCCTCCTAAAATTTCTTTGTACATAATTGGTAACCTTCTGATTCATGCACAAGTGGTAAAACATGCAAGATAAGTATGAAAATAGCCAGCAAAGGAGCAGTGTGTGCAGTTGCATAGGAATGTCAATATATATTTATTTTAGAGAAAAAATGTGCAGGCTTCTGCATATACTGTTTGTCATTTTCTATAATGTACCTGACTTGGGCCCTCACCCTTCATAGTCCTTCTAACTGCTTTGGTGATGAAGAATTGTTTTAAGGAAAGAATACTGTACCAATATATCACAATAATTGTACAGGTCTTTTTCATAGCTCCATTTTCAGTAAAACATATTGCTATAGCAATATTGCTATATTTTCCTTCCACTTCTTATATATTCAATTACTAACAAATGGTTTTATCATAAATTTTCTAATACTCTCTCTCCTATCTAAAAATTAACAATTAACAAAAAGGAAAAAAAAGACGGCAAAAAAGGATTGCTGTTGACTAAGTAGTAAAGATTCATATGCACAAAACAGCAGAAAAGATTTGTTAGAACCTGGAAAACCTTACTATTCTAATCCCCAGAACACTTGTCAAACACCATGTTTCTCCACAGAAAAGTATTCCAGCCAATTTACATTCTTAGAAGCATTCAGATCTGACTATAATCATTCAACAGTCCTAACAAGCAATTCAGTCTGAATTTATTCAATCTGAACTGTTAGCATCAATGTGGAACTAGCAGAAACATTTAACCTAGTCCTCCCACTGCTGCCCACAATCCCATGGCAGCCTTTCAAAATATTTCAAAATCCGATGTTTCTGCTAGGAAGCCATGCCAGGAACTCTGAGATAGGTTACCAAGAGGCACTGGGATTGCAATGACTTAAAACAATACTAGTGTGGGCATGGAGAAAAAGTGCAAAGGGTTGTAAACTTCTGCATGGCTGATGTTGTTGCACTGAATTGTTTGTGCTTAAATTGGTTCTGTTTAATTGGTTCAAATAAAAAATGTTCACGTTTCTATTGCATACAAGTATATATATTGTATATAAAAGTTCCATGAAAGTACCTCTGGAACTGCAGCTTCCATTAGAGAGAAAGGAGGAGGTACACATCCACTGTCCTGTGCAATTTCTAGTGGCTGATAAATAACTTCAGAAGGGTGAAGATAAAAGAATGAGGTTGAAGAGGCAGGAGACTGAAATAAAACAAGATTTAGTACAGGTTACTGAACTGTGCCAGTGGTAAGCAACACCAAACTAAAGACTTAAATAACTGACACTAAAATTTAGGCAACTTAAAAAAATATTTAAAAGTTTTAGATACTACTCTTGGCTTCGAGTCCCTTTGCTATTTTTGTGTTTTTACAATCAAATGTTCTTCTTTTAAAAATGTCTCTCTCTCCTCTGCTATGTGAAGGGCCGACACAAACAAAAGGGAAAAGTAACCAACTGACCATACAGGGGAAATAATTAAGATGATTTTACATGAAGTTCTGTCAAAAGCACTCAGTCAACAAACTGTAAAAAAAAAAAAAAAAAAAAAATTCTCATTCAGTTATAGTAATCTTAGATACTACTGTAAAAAAAAAAAAAGTCAAAAGTTTGCAAACACAAGTCTCAATTTTAAAACTGATGGTGCTGCTTTAACATTTTAATCCCAGGGCAATTTGGTAGAAAAGAAAAAAGAGAAAATACAAAAGTCAGAAAGCAGGAGAGAGTAAGAAAGTTTTCTAAGCACATTAAAAATGAACTGATGTACTTTTAAAAGTAACTAAAATATAAAGTTGTTTAAGATTCCAAATCCATAACTGAAAACATATATAAACTTAAATATATATTTATAAATACATTATAAAAGCAAATTGAAAGGTTTTTTTTTAAATCCCTGCAAAAATATGATAGTTTTGTTTTTCCTTCAATAGTTGACAAAAAATAAATAATTAACTAAAGTAGAAGAGGAGATATTGCTTTGTGTATTTGTGACATCATAAATTCATACAATAAAAATACAGAAACCTCAATACCAGTTATGGCGTTTAAACAGGAAATAAAGCAATTTTCAAGTATTTTGTTTTTAAAACATATTCATTTGTAATTTTTAGTCTACCCATGCATTCTGTTAATCTTTTATGATATTATGAAGGTATTGATAAAGACTTCGTAAGTTAAAATTGTGTTGAGATTTACACTTAAAGCAGGATGAACATTCCTCCGTTCCACACTGTAATGACTAAATTTAGTCCTCAAATTTACCACCACAACTCTTCAGAAAACAAGTTAATTTTATCCCCTCACACATTTAAAAAACAAAAGGAAACCCCCTCCACAAAAAAATGTAATTAACTTAGTTAAGGTTGCATTTCCTAGGAATGCAATTACCACCTTAACAGTAGATTCCACAGCCTAACAACAAATTCACTTCAATTTTTAGCATAGAACCACTCACAATGCACATATGTATGCAAAACCATAATTCTATCCTCCTACTATCTCATGTAAAATAATACTTCATGTATCTATAAATTAACAATCTTGCTTAGTTTGTCAAGCATTGTGTAAGTCTGTGGGGCTAAACTAAGTGTCCAGTCTTGTAAATCTTTAATTACATGAGTGAAAGTTTTCAGAATTGGAACAAGTTTAACTTTGCACACACAAAAATATATATAAGCACAAACTTCTGTGCCCATACTATACTCCATAAAAGCACAGGTATCCATGCTTACTGATCCTGATGAAGGATCAGGGCATTGAAAAGATTTTTATTTATTATAAAGTTTTTTCAGTTCACCTTTAGCAATATACGATGAATAATTTTGGGGTTTTGTTAATGTGGCGCAATCATAAAACAAATCATTGAACCTGTGTAAAAAAATTCCTCATGCATACCTCCCCCCCAAAAAACTTCAGATAAACTAAAAAAACATATAAAATGTTTTCAGTTTTGCCTAGAAGATCTGTTATTAATCGAGAGACCATTCAAAAATCACGATCCATTACAAAGAGAGTCCTGTTTCATGTTCCCTCAAGATTGTATCATGGGATGGTCAGCTGTTCCAACCTTGCTGGCTTGTCTTGCATGAAACACCACAAGATTTAGTTCCATCTTGGAAAAGGGGACTTTTGTCTTGCAATTCTTCACAGATGTAAGTAGATTGTTAACAGGGAGTCTGAAATATGCATGCTCTAATGAAAGTGGCATTCGTCAGACTCCATTTGCATTGGTGTATTTGCTTTAGGCTTACCCAACTGATGACTGAGTTTGATATGAATAGCTTTTGTATTAGTAGCTTCCACTACAGTGCACAGTGGAGAGAAGCTCCTTGGGAATATAACTGGTCTTCTCTTCTTTTTCTTATTTGTATATGCCATTGCTGTAGTGCTGTAATATTACTAGGAAAAGCTTCTGGGAGGCTCTGACAGTTTGGAAGATATGTCTGTGTCAACTTATGAATTTCAACTTTGGCTTGTGAACACCATTTCTATTTATAAGAAGAGGTTACTCACCCTGTGCAATAACTGTGGTTCTTCAAGATGCATGTCCCTATGTGTACTCCTAGCTAGATGCGCTTGCGCCCACTGCATCTTTGATCAGAGATTTCGCATAGCAGTGTCCATTAGGCCCACACATGCATGTTACTCAGTCTCGTGCATTGCACCATTTTTATATAGTACCGCATGGGCCGAAATGCCCTCAATTCCTTCTCAAGCTTCATAGCAGACAACTCCAAAGACAAAGGAAAGAAGGGTGGGTGGTGGAGCACCCATAGGGACATGCATCTTGAAGAACCACAGTTCCTGCACATAGTGAGTAGCCACTTCTTCTTCGAGTAGTGTCCCTATGGGTGCTCCACTCTAGATGGCTACTGAGCAGTTCCCCTTGAGGAGGGGGCTTTGGAGTGAGTCCAATACTGAAGAAAGCCCTGAAGAGCCAAATACAGCATCGGAAGCGGAGTCATGAGTTAATGCATAATGCTCAGCAAAGATATGTATAGAGGTTCAAGTCGCAGCTTTATGTCTCTCAATAATGGGAACGTTTTCCAGAAAGGCTACTGAAATAGAAATGGACCTCGTAGAAAGCATTTGTATGTTCGAGGGTGCTTGGAGATTGCAAGGTTGGTAGCAACAATGAATGCAGTCAGATATGCACCTAGAGAGTCTTTGTTTATAAATTGTTGACCCTTTTGAGCTATCTGCAATTGAGACAATTTGGGGGACTTTCTAAAGCAATTAGTCCTGTCAAGATAGAAGACCGGGGCTCTTCTAACATTGAGTGTGTGTAACAGTGCTTCTTATCCAGCTGAGGTGTAGGGTAAAAAACCGGAAGGTGGAGGTTAATGTGGAATTCTGAAGATGCTTTTGGTAAGAGCTTGGAGTGTGGTCATAATATGACTTTGGCTTTGAAAAATATAGTGAAAGGAGAGTATGCCATAAGGGCCCCTATTTCCTTAACTTGCCGGCTTGACATGATGGCTACCAGAAATGTCATTTTCACTGATAAATGCAGGCGCGAACAGGTAGTCAGTGGCTTGAACAGTGTCCTCAAGTTAAGGACCAAGTTCGGATTCCAAATCAGAATAGGACATTTGACTTGTGGGAAGAGATTTCTGACTCCCGAGGAATCTCATTGTAGTTGAGTGAGCAAACACGGAATAACTCTCTATTGGAGAGTGGAAAGCTGTGATGGCTGCCAGGTGGACCCTAACAGAGCTCAACAACAATTTTAGTTCAGGATGTAGTCCAGTATATCTGACAGCTATGAGGTTGCTGGTGGAATGTACTTTAGGTCACACCAGCAGCAAAATCTTGTCCATTTTTGCGAGTAAGTGTAGTGTGTAGACTGTTTCCTGCTATGTAATAATACTCTTTTTACTCCCCCTGAACAGACTGTTTCTAAACCCGCAAACCATTGAGTAGCCATGCTTTGAGGTGAAGCACTCTGAGATTGGGATAAAGGATCTTCCTGTCTTTTTGGGAAACAAGATACGGAGCAGTCCAGAGACTGATCAGTGAACAAGCGACCAGCTTTATGAGGGTAAGGAAACGTTGTCTGTCCGGACCAGGGTGGAACTATTAGAATACCTCTGGCTTTGTCCTCCTCTATCTTGAGCAGAACTTTGGATATTAGAGGAGTCGGAGGGAATGCATATAGTAGACCTGACAACCACAGAAAGTGAAAGGCATTGCCACAAGGACTGGAGACCCAGGCCAACCTCTGGAGCAGAACTGAGCACCTTTCTTGTTTCTGGCCAAGGAGAACAGATCTATCTGAGGGATGCCCTATTGCCAAAATATGTGGTTGAGTACAATGGAATCTATTTCCCACTTGTGGTCTTGAGAAAAGTGTCTGCTGAGGGTATCCGCGGTTACATTCTGATCACCTGTGAGGTAAGCTGCTGTGATGATGATCTTATTGCATATGCACCAATTCCAAAACTTTGACAGCTTCGGCACAGAGGGAGGGGGATCTTGCCCCTCTTTGTCAGTTGATATAGAACATGCATGACATGTTGTCCAGCATGACCTGTATGTATTTGCCCCAATCAATGGTAGAAACTGGAGACAGGCATATCTGACTGCCCTGAGTTCTAGGATGTTGATGTGCAGAAGACATTTTCCATGCTCAACCCCCTAATAGAAGAGCAGGGACAGACAAGGTGCCGGGGGGGCTGTTTTAAAAAGGACATGCTCTTGAGGAAAAGGAAGCCATTTCTTCAATGGAAACAAAAGACCCAAAAAAAAGAAAATGGAGGCAGCAGGGACTTTACCTCCCCTTAAAGGTCTTGGACCAAACCCAAGACCCACAAAGTAGGGTGAGATAACACTGAAAAGGATTACGGTCAGGTGTATTTTTGTTTTCCATAGGTCTGTAACTCCCCTTGTGCCTTTTAAGAGGTGTGTGTGGCCATGTCTACACTAGCGAGTTTACAGCAGCACAGCTGTCTGTACTGATGCAGCTGCACTGCTGTAAGATCGCTCGTGTAGCCGCTTGATGCTGATGGAAGAGAACTCTCCCATTGACATAATAAAACCACCTCCACAAGCGGTTGAAGCTATGTCGGCGGTGCAACTGTGCTGATGTAGCTTAGTGAAGATGCTACCTACACTGACAGGAGAAGCTCTCCCACTGGCGTAGGTACTCCACCTCCCCAAGAGGCGGTAGCTATGTTGACAGGAGAAGCCCGTCCATTGACATAACACTGTCTACACGGGAATTCGGTTGGTATAATTGGGCTGCTCCTTTTTCCACACCCCTCAGCGATGCAGTTATATCGACCTAAGTTTGTAGTGCAGACCAGGGCTAAGGATGGGCCAAATGGTGACAGAGGCCACTGCTATTAGACTAACCACGGCATGTCTAATTGCCCTGTGTTTCAGGAACTTAATGTTCCCTTTGAGTTCAGATTCAAAATCCCTTGGATGGCAAGATTCCCCAAGTAGATTCCCCATCCATATAGACTAGAGAACTACAAGCTGAACAAAGCTCTCTTGTGGTAAAGAAATATTATGTGAATAAACAAACTGGATGTGATATTTTATTAAATTATACTATATCCCTTCCATTATGCCAGGAAATACTGCATAATTGCATTACTGAGATATAGCAAACAATATTAACTTGAACAGTGCTGATTAACTGATTTGGGAGATATCATTTCATCAACTGAATTATGGACAAGTGATTTAAAAATTGAAAAAGCATACTGTGCATTCAGACAAGGAAAACAATGACCAAATGCTGCAATTATAAAATATATTTACCTGTGGAACACTCCATTGCCACTGACCTGAAAGACACTGTGCAGGTGCCTAGGTTCATAAAAATAAGATAGTTTATTATTTCATAATTAAAACATTCTCATATGGAAAACACAGACCTTTCAAATAAGTTGTTTTGAAAATAAAACAGACACTGGCAGGTCTTAATTGCCCTGTGTTTCAGGAACTTAATGTTCCCTTTGAGTTCAGACTCAAAATCTCTTGGATGGCAAGAGTCCAAGTAATTTAGGCACATAAGTCCTATTCACTTTCAATGGGACTCTGATTTGGGCACTTTTGAAAATGGCACGTAGGATCCTAAATCACTTAAGCACATTTTAAAATTAATTTTTTAAAAATAAATAAAATAGATAAAATACAAAGTGTTACTACAATTCAAAAGTATTTTTAAAACTTTGCAACAGTCCTACTTTCAAAGATATTTTTATCATGGTCACAACTGATCAATAAAGCCATAATCCAGAAACTTTCCAGAGAACTCTTCTTCCAACTAAGGTCACAAACTTGCAAACAAAATTACTGGTGAGAACCCTTGTGCATGCATAAGTCCCTTTGACATCAGTGACACCGCATGGGTATTAGAATTCACATTGGTGCATCTAGTTGTAGGATCAAGTCCTAAACCCTTAGTGATTTCCAACTTTGTATGATTTGTTAACCGTTTTTTTAAGCAAGGATGGGATTGACCCAGCTATCTAGCATTACCATAAAGAAAGGACCAGAGTTCATTCCAGGTAAGCAGGCAGAAAATTAAATCCTAGTGAGGGGTTGTAGGAATGGAATACCGCAGGATGCTATCTACTGTGACTTGAAATTTGAAGGGAGCATTGTTTGGCCAGAGGGACAGATGCTAAGAATTTATGGTTTTGAGAGAGTGGTGAAAGCAAAACTAGAGGGTTGGAAAGAATGAGAGGGTTACTCACCTTGTGCAGTAACGGAGGTTCGTTGAGATGTGTATCCCTGTGGGTGCTCCACTTTAGGTGATTGCGCACCCTGTGCCTCTAATGGGAGAATTTCGACAGCAGTAACTGGCTGGGCTGCACATGCGCTCTCCCCATCTTGTGCCTGTCGCAGTAGTTGATTAGCTCTGTGCAGCTGCCCCCCCACTCAGTTCCTTCTCTACTGCAGAGGACTAATTAGAACTCCAAAGTAGAGAGGAGGAGGGAGGGTAGTGGAGCACCCACAAGGACACACATCTCAAAGAACCTCAGTTACTGCACAAGGTGAGTAACCCCCTCTTCTTCTTCCAGTGATGTCCCTGTGGGTGCTCCACTTTACGTGACTGTAGAGCAGTGCCCCTCAGGTGGAAAGAGGGGTTTGGATTTAATTCTAAATGGATGATAGGACTGTGTGTCCAAGCCGGGTGTCATGCTGAGACCTGGTCAATGACATAGTGCTGTATCAACGTGTGGGGTGATGTTCAAGTAGCTGCTTTGCATATGTTACTCCTGGGGGAATTCTGCTCCAAAAAATCCAAAATTCTGCATTTTATTTGTCAAAATCATGCAATATAATTACACCAGTTTCACTTACATTGATAATTTATTTAACCTACCATACAGAAAAAAAATCACAATAACTGTTCAGCATTTCTTAAACACATGAAAGTTAAGTTACAAAGGTAACCAAGACCCTGCATTCTAGTTATAATTGATTTTCATTTAAATTACATTACTTTTATTTTGGTGTTTGGTGTTCTGTAAAGTAGACTGTTGCTTTAAATTGCTCAGACTTTCACACATGAAAGTCATACAGTTTTGCTAATCATTGTTCTGCATTTTTTTAAAATGGATAAGTAAAATAGATCCTGAGCTGTAATTTAACTCTATTGTGCCTCTCTGGCACAGGAAAAAAAAGCAAGAAAGCACACAGACCTTACTAGTTGAGGATTCTGTTACTGTCATTTGCAATAAGGACACGTCTTCACTGGCAACGTTAAAGCGCATTTCTTTGCTCCCCCATTTTTCTGTGAGGGAGCCAAGAAATCTGCAGAAGGTATGAATTCTGCGCCCCCCACAGAGCGCAGATTTCCCCCAGGAATAATATGTCATTAATAGTCACGTCATTCAAGAAGGCTACTGAGGTGGCTGCTGCTCTTGTGGAGTGTGTTCTGGCCCGTGAGGGGGGTTGTAGCCCAAGTTGACGGTAGCAGAGCTGGATGCAGCCTGAAATCCATTTGGAAAGTCTCTGCTTAGAGATGGGTTTGCCTTTAGAGTGTTCTGTGGTGGAGAGGAACAGCGTAGAAGTTTTTCTGAACGGCTTGGTCTATTTTAGATAAAAGGCTAGTGCCCTTCTGACATCTGCCTCTTGCCTGTCCTTATGAGGTTTAGGGAATAATATGGGAAGATGGATGGGTTGGTTGAGGTGGAATGAAGAAGGGACTTTAGGTAAGAATTTAGGGTGAGGTCTCAGAGTGACCTTTATTCTTAAGAAAAATTGTATATGGTGCGTCTACCATCAGGGCCCCTATTTCTCCAACACGCCTCGCTGACGTGATGACTACAAGAAAGGTTTCTTTCATGGAAAGATGTAGTAGTGAACATGTAACCAGAGGTTTGAACGGGGCAGTCGTCAGAGATTGAAGCACTAGAGTGAGGTCCCACGGAGGAATTAGGGCTCTGGGTTCTGGGTAGAGGTCATGAACGCCCTGCAGGAATCTTTTAGTAGTTGGGTGTGCAGAGACCGAAAAGCCATCCACCTTGTGGTGGAAGGTTGTAATTGCTGCCAGGTGTACTCTTAATGAACTCACTGAGACACCTGATTTCTTAAGGTGAAGTATGTAGTCCAAGACTACGGGCAGGGTAGAATTGGTGGCTTTGATTTGTTTGTTTAGGCCCCACATGTGGAATCTCTTCCATTAGTGGAGGTATGTCGAATGTGTAACTGGCCTTACTGTTTAGCAAGATATCCTTAACTTCTTTGAAGCAGATCATCTCCTCGCCTTGGAACCACTGAGGAGTCAGGCTCTTAGATGGAGCGTCTCCAGGTTCGGGTGCAGATTTTGGCCTGCGTCCTGAGAGAGGAGATTTGGAAAGAATGGAAGGACTTGCAGCGAGCATGCTGACATCTATTGTAGGTATGGATACCATGTTTACCTAGACCATGCTGGAGCTATCAGGATGACTTTGGTTTGATCATATCTGAACTTGTGTATGACTCTGGGCATTGGCGGGATGGGAGGGAAGGCATGCAGGAGAGGTGCGTCTGATCGGATGAAAAACGCATTTTCTCTGCATTTTGGTCCCAGACCCGCTCTGGAGCAAAATGTTGGACATTTGCTGTTCTGGCTCATGGCATATAGGTCTATCGAGGGGAAACCCCATAGTTGAAATATGTTCTGGATCACTGAGGTGTTTATTTCCCACTCATAGTTGTGTGAGAACTTTCGGCTGAGCGTGTCCGCTGTGATGGTCTGAGATCCTTGTAGGTAGGTGGCTGATATTGTCCGTCATGATCTGTATGGTTTTGTTTTCGATTAGAGGCATGAAGTGCACATGGGCATTGCGAACTGTTTGCAGTTCCAGGATGTTGATGTGGAGAGTTGATTCCTGTGCTGTGAGGCTGTTTAAATGGGCACCCCAACCCAGTAGGGAGGCGTCCGTTGTAATTATCATTTGGGAGGGAATGTTGTGCGGGCGGGTCCACAATTGTAACGAGTCCTTGACCTTCATTGGCATGCTTAGGAGTTTGGTCAGTCTTTGTTTCTGTGGAATGTACACTGTCCTGAGCCAAGCTTGCAGGCAGCGCATGCATAGTTTGGCATGATTTATGACATATGTGGTCACCGCCATGTGACCTAGTAGTTGAAGGCAGGTCCTGGCAGATACTTGTGGACTGTGTATCATGGTATCAATCAAGTTTGTCAGGGCGATGAATCTCTGAGGTGGTAGTGATGCTTTCGCCTATATAGAGTTTAGGTGGGGTCCCAATAAAGTCCAGTTGTTGAACTGGTGTTAGCATTGACTTTTGAAGGTTTATTTGTAGACCAAGATCTGTGAAAAGTGACATTGTCTTTTACGTGGCTTCGACGGCTTCTTCTCGAGTCTGAGCCTTGATTAGACAATCATCTAAATATGGGTAGATCATGACCCCTTGCTTGCATAGGTGGGCCGCCACCACTGCTAGCACTTTGGAAAACACTCGGGGAACCGTGGAAAGGCCAAAGGGTAGTACTGTGTATTGAAAGTGGTCCTGTCCCAGTACAAATCGGAGGAATCGCTTGTGTGCTGGGTATACAGCGATATGAAAATATGCGTCTTGCAGGTCAAGGGCTGCAAACCAATCTGCTCGTTCCAGAGCAGGAATTATTGTTGCTAAAGTAACCATCCTGAAATGTTGTGTTTTGACAAATTTATTTAGTTTCCTGAGATCGAGAATGGATGTCCATTCCCCAGACTTCTTTTGTGTTAAAAAATAATGGGAATAAAAGCCCTTCCCTCTGTGTTGTACCAGCACTGGTTCTACCGTGCCTAGTTGCAGGAAGTATTCTATTTCCTGTCTTAAGAGTGGCTTGTGAGAAGGGTCCCTGAAGAGGGACGAGGAGGGAGGGTGGGTAAGGAGAGGAACTGGATGGAGTAGCTGGTCTTGATGATCTCTAGTACCCATCTGTCAGAAGTGACAGTACGCCAAAATGGGTAGAATGGTACCAGACATTCTGTAAACAGATGGTTGGGTGCAGTGTGGAGTTAGTGATAATAGTTGCGGGAGGTCTGTCAAGCCCTCAACCAAACCTTCAAATTTGGTGTTTGGAGATTGGTTGCTGTAACGTGGAGGACTGTGAAAAATTTGAACTTCGTTTGGGTGGTGTTTGCCTACGTCTTTGAGGATAATACGGTCTCTGGTTGTGTGTGTACGGAGCCTGTCTAGGACGTTATAATGTATAATACCTGCCTCATTTGCATTTAGTTGCAGGTGTATAGATGCCTAGAGATCTAATAGTGGCTCTCGAGTCCTTTAAGGAGTGAAGTGACTCGTCAATCTTGCTGGCAAACAGCTTCTGACCCTCAAAAGGAAGGTCCTTTACTGTAGATTGCATCTCTCTTGGAAACCCTGACAGGTGAAACCAGGAGGCCCAGCAGTTGCAATGGTCCTCGCCGCCGTGTTATCAGAGTCCAATGATGCCTGAAGGGCTGTTCGAGCTATAAGGGGGCCTTCAGAAATGAGCGATGTAAACTGCTCTCTCTTTTCCCCTGGTGTAAGTTCAATAAAGTCTGCTAATTTTCAATAAGTTGTGTGGTCATATTTTGCCAAGAGAGCTTCATAACTGGCAATTCTAAACTGTAATGTTGCCGATGAGTAGGCCTTGCGGCCATGTAAATCCAGCCTTTTCCACTCCTTATCATAAGTTGTGGGCCTGGAATAATGGTGCCTACCTCTTTTGTTAACAGCATCCACCACGAGAGAATTTGGGGGCTGGAAAATAAAAATTCTAGCCCCCCTGAAGGGACATAATACTCTTTGTCCGCCCTCTTACACGTAGGTCGGATTCTGGCACAGGTTTTCCAGATGGTTATGACGGGCTCCATAATGGCAAGGGAATCTTGGAAGATGTTGATGTGTGGAATATGTTCAAGAGCTTGGGCTGAGATCTGGCAACCTCTTCAAGAGGGATTTGAAGTGTGTTAGCTATTATTTTAAACAGTTCCTGAAACTGTTTGAAATCGTCTCCAGTAGTAGGGGGCAGAGGCATGATGGTCTTGTCACGTGAGGAAGACAAGTCGATCGCAGGAATAGCCTCCAGGTCTAACTCCTGCTCTGTTTGCTCAAAAGTCTGTTCCTGGGAGACGTCAGGTGGAACTACTGGTTTTGGTGAGAGGTGTCTATACATTTCCCTGCTGCTTGGTGGCTTGGGAAAATATTGACTGTATGCTGCCCATGGGTCCCAGAATGACCATTGTGGTCGGCAAGGCACAGGTGGGTGTCCCCATGAGTGTCCATACCACCCCTGTATGTCTGGTCTGGGATGGTGTCTAGCATGCTCTCGTGGCTCAGATCTGATACTGGTCTGCACGGGTGAGGAATGCTGAAATGAAGAAAGTTCCCCCTCCTCGTCCTCGGGGGGGGGGGGGCAAGATGCAGCTGGTGGATGCAATATCAGTACAGAGGAGAAGGGACTCAAGTTCCAGGCTCACTGTCAGGTCCTTAGGTACAAGGAACTGCTGTATTCTTGGTACCGGAGAAGGCACTTGCATTTGTTGCAGTACCAGGAGGTAGTGTGGTGCCAGAGGGATAGGTGCCGATGTTGACTGCACCGGGGACTTAGGAGGCTTCAGTGCCGATGCATCAGTGATGTGCAGCAGAGAGCCAGGAGGTGGCTCCGGTGCCTTAGAAACTGCAGAGGCACTCGGTAGGGAGGATTTTGTTGTTGCCACCGGTGCCATAGAGGAAAGGGCAGTCTTTTCTCTGCCTTCCTTTTTGGAGCCTGGCCGCTTAGGGTCTGTGGCTTTAACGGTACCCACGGTACCAGAAGTCCCTGCTGACTCATAGGTACTTTGCCACAGCGTGGTCGGTACCAATGCAGTAGAGCGAGTCGGGGAACGCTTCTTTTTAGATGCAGGTTTGGTAGGAGGAGTGGTAGCTCTCCTCTTTGCAGGTCTTAAAAGACAGGTCCCTCCCGCATGAAGCAGAGGAGGAGGATCTGTCAGAAGCCACCTTCAGTGATTGGTCACTGGGAGAAGTTTGCGTTCCTGGGATGGAGGGACTTCTCCATGAGAATAAGCTTAAGTTTTAGGTCCCTTGCCTTCCTTGTGCGGGTCTTCAGATTATGGCAATGAGTGCACTTTTGGGGTACATATGTTTCCCACAGCCACTTGACGCATTGTGAGTGTCCATCAGAGATAGGAATTGCCTCATGGCAGGAAATGCATTTAAATCCAGGAGATCCTGGCATTTCAAAGGGAATATCCCATGATGGGATGAAGTTAGAAAAGAATTTTTTTTATACAGGGAGAAGAAAAATAGAAAGTCTTAACCAACTAATCTAAATGTACTAATAACACTAATCTAACTTTATATACAAAAACTGCTAACAAGCATATCTGAGGTAAAGCAAGTGAAGGCACTGCCGGAGCTCTGACTCGGACCAAGGGCGAATGAGAAGGAACTGAGTTGGCAGGAAGGAGGGGTGGTGGGGGGGAGGGGCGGCTGTACAATGCTAATCAACTGCCATGACGGGCAAGAGACAGGGAGAGCACATGTGCAGCCCAGCCAGATACTGCTGTTGAAATTGTCCGACTAGAGGCGCAGGGTGCACAATCACCTAAAGTGGAGCACCCACAGGGACATCACTCGAAGAAGAACCTCAGGCTATGAAATGATATACCAGTTTTCTAACTTTTACCTGGTAAGGATATGTAGGTTGATGATAAACAGGTTGAGCTACCATTACAGGGGAACTGGAAATGGACCGTGACTTTAAAAGAAGAAGAAAAAAAAAAAGAGATAAATTAGAAATTTTAATACATTAATCTCAGGAATTGTTACTTTTACTAAAACATACACCTTAAGTACTATATGCTATACAACTTACCATTTTAAAAACAAAATAATTTATAAAAATGGTTACTTACAGTAACTATGATTCTTTAAGATGATCACTTGCATGGATCCAGACTGCAGACAAAGCACATGGCCTAGGCACATGAACTAAGAACTTTCTTGAAAGCAGTGTCCATTGGGACTGCTCACATACCCTATATCCTCAAATTCCCCCCCACCCTGTCCAATCCTTTGGATATGAAAGGGAGTGCAGCCTCAAACCTAATTTAAGTTCCTTCCACAAAACACAAAATCTGCTGGAAGACTCTGGAATAATGGAATATATTGTACCAAAGTCCACAAGGTTGAAATAATTGAGGGCCCTGATACTAAAGGACACAGAGTATGTCTACACAGCAAAGAAAAATCTGCAGCTCATCCGTGCCAGCTGACTCATTCTCAGGGGGCTCAGGCTGTGGGCCTGTTTCACGACTGTGTAGACTTCCAGACTCAGGCTGCAGGCCAAGCTCTGGAACCCTCTCACCTCGCAAGGTCCTAGAGCCTGGGCTCCAGACCACGCCCAGATGTCTACACAGCAGTGAAACAGCCCCATAAGTCCAAGTCAGCTGGCACAGGCCAACTGTAGGTTTTTCTTTGCTGTTTAGACATTGCCTCAGCACCAGAGGAACCAACATCAATATACTGGGAAGCCCAGATTTGAGGCACTAAAGCTTGAGGCAGTCAACACCAAGATAATCAATGCCCAGGTGCTCAAGACAAAGGGTATGTCTACATGGCAGTTAAAAACCTGCGGCTGGTCCACGTCAGCTGACTTGGGCTTCTGGAGTTCAGGCTAAGAGGCTGTTTAATTGTGGAGTAGATGTTCGGGCTCAGGCTTGAACCTGATCTCTAGGACCCTCCCACCTCGCAGAGTCCCAGAGCCTGGGCTCTGGCTTGAACCTGAATGTCTACACTATAATTAAACAGCCCCTTAGCCCAAGTCAGCTGGCATAGGCCAGATGCGAGTTTTTAACTGCAGTGTAGACATTCCCATGATGTCTAAAAGACAGAATCCAACAGTAAACTATGTGTAATCTGTAAATTTCTTCCCAGGACATCTTTCCAATGCAGCTTCTTGGTAACGATAAAATATCTGTCTTTTGGGGTTGAAAGAAAGGTGCTTGCCCTTCCCTGTTTAAACCCAGCACTTGATCTACCCCCATTTATCCTCCTCCCAAAACAAACACCAATTCTAAGATGGATGTGAGACAGATTGGGGGATATGTTTGTGGCAATTTATGAATTCAGTTTTTTGTGAACACTGTTATATTTCATCCTCCATTTTGAATGTAACCTTTATTGTGGCCTGAAATATTCATTATGGTATCAGGAACTTGACACATAGTAGGGAAGCTATGACAGAGCCATCAGCATTGACAGTCCCTCTCCTGGTGGAACAATGGGGTTGCTATCAGCAGGGCAACTGACTTTGAACTTTCTGCCCAGAAGCTGACAGGGGGAAGGAGCATGGAAAATCCCCAGTGGAAAAACAAGGACAGAAACGGTAGAAAAGGCTGTTTTAAAAAGAGGAATACCCTTTAAGCAAGGGAAAACCATTTCATTGCCAGAAACAAAAGACCAAGCTGAAAAAAGTGGAGGCATGAGTGGCTTTATCTCCCTAAAGGACAGTGGTCAAACCCAAAGCTCCCAAAAGGGGGTGAGATCACACTGAGGGGACTGCATTCAGGAATTTATTTTCCATAGATCTGTAATTCTCTTGTGCTTTTTAAGAGTAAAGTGTGCGTGTGTGTGTATAAGAAATTCCTTTGTTAAACCTGTGTTCCTTGCTTTATGGCTACACTGACCCTGAAGGGATTAACTAGAAAGCTCACACAGCCAGGTAGACTCTGGGGGAAAAGTGTGGACACTGGTTCTGGGGTCTAGGTGGCCAGACTACAAGGTCTCACTGCCCAAGAAGAGTGTTATACACTGGGTCTGGGAAGTGAGTTTGAGAGAGCAAAGCAAGGAACAGTGATCAGTCACTACTCAAACCTAGGGAGTTTATTAGCATTTAGGATTCAGTGGTCACAATAGACTGGAGTTTATTCAGAGACTGGACCAGCGACTGGTCTAGGTTGTGACTGCATGTTCTCACAAAACTCAGTAGTCCTAAGTTCCAATTCTTTGCTCTTACCTACAGCCAAAACCTTTCACAACATTTCTACATAGTTCTCTGTTATGAATTTCTTTCTGCTCTATAATGTCTCATCATTTATTCTATATTTAAAAAAATGGCTGAAGCCAAATGAAGTGAGAATTTAAACTTCATATACTTTTTTGTAATATTATGCATTTTTAAAGTCACAGATTCCCTAGGACAAGGCAAAGGTAAAAGCATTAACAATGTAAAACAGTTTGTTTTATTCAACAGGATCCATGAAACCTGTACTAATGATCATCTGTTAACTGCAGTTACCTCTTAACAGACACATTAATTACATTATATGATGCAGTTACAGTCAGAAAAGCAGCAAATTCCTTAGCTGCCATCAAACATCATGAGAGACTAGGTGGGTAATGTAATAGCTTTTACTGGACCAACTTCTGTTGGTGAAAGAGACAAGCTTTTGAGCTAACACAGAGCTCTTTGTCAGGTCTGGGAAACATACTCAGAGGTTGTGTCTACACTAAAGATCTTACAGCGGCACTGCTGTAAGATCTCCTCTGGAGCCGCTGGAGGGTGGGTGGGCAGTAGAGGGGGAAACTGAAGGACAGGATGATATTTTCAATGGGTAGACAACCTGCCCACCCTCCACCTGACCACTAGCTGGCAATGTTGGTGGTTGTTCACCCACTGGGGGAAAAGGAGGGGAAAAAAGCGGGGGGGGGGGAAGGGTGGGTTAGTGAGTTATAGATTGTTGTAATAAGCCATAAATCCAGTGTCTCAATTCAGTCCCTGATTTTTAGTTGGCACTTACCACCCCACACTGGAAGCCTTACAGGATAACACCAAACAATTACAACCCATATTCGATGAGGACCACATCCTGAAAGAAATCTTTCCCAAACGACCTCTTCTGGCCTTCAAACAACTCCCCAATCTCTCCATGCTCATCATCTGAAGCAAGCTCCACACAGACTAGGACACAGCAACTGAAAGTGGCACACACTCTGCCAGAACAACAGATGCAAAACTTATAGGCATATCTTCACTACTATGATGATCAACACCCCAATCAACATGCCTTTCAAGATCTATGGGTCTTAAACTTGCCTATCACAACATGTGATGTACCTCACCCAGTCCACTAAATGCCCCAATAACAACTATGTGGGTGAAACCAGACAATCACTACACTATTGAATGAATTAACACAGAAAAACAATGAGACAAAACTACTATATCATCTGTGGGTGAGCACTTTTCACAAGGGAAACCTGCACAACCCCTTCAAAAGAAGAACCTGGAACCTAAATTCATAACTTTGCTAGACGCTAAAAATCATGGACCAAATAGAAACACTGGATTTATGGTATATTCCAACAATCTATAACCCACAATCTCCCCCAGTTTTTTCCCCCCTTCAATCCCCCTTAGGAGTGAAGAGGTGTTAAGGGGTCACTTCACCTTGAATGGTCCCTTGAAATATGTGTATGTGAAATATACTTATGCTAATCAATCTGTTCCACCTTGTATTTAGCTGGGACACACTGAGTACATTTCCCAGACCTGAAGAAAAGCTCTGTGTAAACTCAAAAGCTCGTTTCTCTCACCAGCAGAAGTTGGTCCAATAAAAGATATTACCTCACCCACCTTGTCTCTTTCATATCCTGAGACCAACACAGCTACAAAAATACTCCCTACAATCAAAGATAATGTACAGTTAGCAAGTTTCACAGTAGTAATTAATTTTCTTCGGAGTTTTATCTATTTTGTATAACAAGGAGAGAGGAAAGAAGAAAACATGGAAAATACAAGAAAGAAGCAAAAGGAAACAAGCTTCATGGAACAGAACCTTACCAATAAGCCAGTTGTGAGACATATGCAGTATTCTCAAATTATAATCTTTCAGATATTACTTACAGGCCATGGCTGTGGAACAGATGCAACTTCAGGAGTATGAAAATAAGCTACTCCATTGTGATAAGTATAAGGATATCCAGTTGAAGTGGTCAAGTACATTGTTCCAGCTGCTGGCATTATGCTAGATCCTAAAATAAACAATGATGGTTGAAATTAAAATTAAGCAAACTTGCAGCTTTTAATACAAGTGAAGTAATAGAAAATTCCAATGCACATTTTAATTGCCCAATATAACAAATTTTATACTCTATATATCAGCTCCATGTTGCTGCTCTGCATCTCTCTGTAACAGGAATGTGTCTCAAACAAACCACAGATGCTGCAATGGCTCTGGAGTGCATTTTTAAATCCTTGGTGGGAACTATGCTTCTAGCTAAAATGTAACATAGTTCTCTCTATCTTTTTATCCACTGTGACAGCCTTTGTTTGCTAATAAGCTATCTCTGACATCTTTCCCCATAGGCTATAAATAGTCAATTGGACTTTTCTAAAGGCTTTGGTACTCTCTAGGTAAACACAGTGCCCTTCTAATGTCCACATTATGCAGATAAAGCTAAGATTGGGCCTCACAATCACCTGGTTCTTATGTACCTAAGTATACGGTTGTCTGGCCATTAAAGCATCAATTCTCCAGCTCTCTTGGCAGAGGTGATGGCTTTAAGAAAAGCTGTCTTTAGAGACAGATGCACCAAAGACATTTTCTTGAGGGGCTCAAAGGGAGGATCCATGAGTTTAATCAGAGAAAGATTTAAGCCCCAAGAGTAGAGGAGGCTCCCTTGTAGAAGGAAAAACATTGGTCATGCCTTTCAGGAACAAAGAAACAGTACAACCAGAAAATACAGATCTGTGTTTAATATGCCTGACAGCTAAATGTCCCTTAAGCCTGGATTTAAGGAGAGGGAAGTGGTCCAATGTCCTGATGTCAACTTGGGGAGCCTTCAAAATCATCTCCAATGGTGTCAAAGCTACTCTGAGACAACTGCAGATTTGAATCAGAGAGGTAGGTACAGAAGCAGAGTCAAGTGGTGGAAAAGTATGTGGTGAAATGGACAGTAGCCTTAGTGGTGGTCCCGTATTCAGGACTGGGAGAGAGAAGGGATTCTTGGGATCTATTGTAGTGACATGTCCAGGCTGACTGGTGCTGTGGTCTGTCACTGGAGATGTGTGTTGAAGAGACAGCTATATCATTAAAAATCTCCAAAATACTCCAAAAGTATTGGAGAGTAAGAGAGAGGAAAAAGATGATAGTTCCTCCTCTTCTTTTGTTTGTGCCCCTCTAGTGGGGAGAAGTGCTTCCTGTTCTGATTTCCTGGAGTCGTCCTGTGGTGCCATGACTGATGTATTGGTGCTGGAGGACATGTTCAATATAGGACTGGCAGAGAGGGCAGTGGTGCTGGATGAAGGGTTTGACCTGGGACTTTTCAAGCCTTATGCCACAGTGCCAGCTCAGTTTTTAGTGTTGTGCCATAAACTGATTTTGATGCCACAGAACTGACAGGACTGAGCATTGGTGGCTGAAGGAGTCTCTCCCTTTATGGGGACAAGTAGATCCCAGTCTTGTGCCTTTGGTGGAAGATGGCGCAGAAACCCAAGTAGAAGGGTTTGTCACACAGGAGAGGACCGCAGGATTGATCATGGTCTTGACACCAGTCATGGGCCTGCCAGAGTTTCAGGCTGTACATGTTCTGAGGCCAGATGAGTCTGGAGCTTCAAGTCTCTCTCCCTTCTGGCCTGGGGAGTAAAGGCATGGCAATGGTAAGAAAGTTGGCTTTACTCAAAAACAGATGGGACTGGATGTGGGCATCAGACTCAGGAATACCCCAGACAAGAGGAGCACCTCTTGAAGCCCTTACAGGGCTCAGGACCTGTCATAGTTCTGGTAAAGGAGCCCAGAGAGAGGACAAGGGAATGACTACTTATACTATTCTAAAATTAACTAACTACACTACACTAAACAATCCTAACTATTTACAGACTTACAAGAAAAGGTTATAAGGTAGTCTAGTCCTGAGGACAGGACATGGTGAGTTCTGTCTGCTCTCTGCAGTGGCAGTGAAGGAGCTGAGTCAGTTAGGGTGTGAACTCCACTATACAGAGTAGGGCGATGATGTCATTCTTGTGTACACCCAATGGAAATAGCTTTTCAAGGCAGTTCGGCAGCTCAATACCAGGAGGTGCCAAACCCACAAGATATAACACACAGAGGCCCTTGGAGAAGAACAAAATGTTTTATACTCAATTTAGTTTGTAAAACAAAACTCTGTAATATAGATAAAAGCAATTACAATGCAAAGGTACTGAAATATGACTGTCCTGGGTAAGCTAAGCCTTTCATCTATGGATTCACACTCTTTGACAGGACACTTCATCAGTACGTTTTCAAAGTCTTCCCAAAACTTAAAAAATGGAAACTAAAGAAACGGGGATGCAATTTTGGATAAGCATATAAGTATCTGAATGTTATTTTGCGTTAAATCACAACAATCTTAACAGTAGATCTGGTTGAAAAATTTCCAAATTCCCAATGTCGACAATTTTTTCATCCATTTTAAACATAAAAAATCAAGTTTTCATTAAAATTTAGTTTTTCAATTAGCTCTAGTTAACAGTACCTAAAAACGGTTCATAACAAAGTCTTTATTAGGAATAATCTTCTGATATAAAATTCCTGAACACTTCAAAGCTGTCTATTCAGGTCAAAATGAAACTAGTCGTTAACTAAACATCACAAACTACGACCCCAGGATTAGAAACATCTGAAGAGGTAAAATGTAAGAAAGGGGAACTAAACAATTCCTCAGAAAATGCTATTACCAAAGTCAGAAATAAAGGTGGAAAAATAACTAGTTGACACTCCTATCACTCTTGGAAGTTTGTATTTTGGTATCAGATAAATTGGCCAGTCCTGCAGGTAAAAGTATTGACAAGCCAAACTTGAGGGAGACCAACTATAGATTCACAGAAACTAAAGACCGTGAACGCCTTTTCCATCCTCTGCCAATTCAGTATTCCCTATGTTATGATACATTTACTAGTGCAGGGGTTCTCAAACTGGGGGTCGGGACCCCTCAGGGGGTCGTGAGGTTATTACATGGGGGATCGCGAATGGTCAACCTCCACCCCAAACCCCGCTTTGCCTCCAGCATTTATAATGGTGTTATACATTAAAAACACTTTTTTATATATTTAAGGGGGGTCGCACTCAGAGACATGTGTGAAAGGGGTCACCAGTAAAAAAGTTTGAGAGCCACTGTACTAGTACAAATCCAACTTAAAAATATTTCAAGCAATGTGGCTTTCGTTACTTCTCTTATGAGACCATCCCACACCCCAACAGATTTCAATCTCTGAAATTTATTTCTGATATTCAGCCTAAATTTTCCACTTCTAAATTGCATTCTTTTGCTGCTGGTTATAGCCCTTCACTGCCCTAAGTAGTTGGTCTCTTAACTTGTGTTTTCATTTTTCAGATATTTGTAGGCTATTAAATTTAAATAAATTTAATGGAGATATCCTATCTCCTAGAACTGTGAAAGGTCATCGAGTCCAGCCCCCTGCCTTCACTAGCAGGACCAAGTACTGATTTTGCCCCAGATCCCTAAGTGGCCCCCTCAAGGATTGAGCTCACAACCCTGGGTTTAGCAGGCCAATGCTCAAACCACTGAGCTATCCCTCCCCCATAACCCTTAGTTAGGGTATTCATAATAATTATCTTCTCTCATTAGGTCAGTTCTTCTAGATCCCTAATTATATTTGTTGATCTTCTCTAAATTCCGCCCCCCCCTTTTGTCTGATCTTTCTGATAATACAGTGCACACAAGTAAATGGAATATTTCAAATGTGTTTGCTCCAGAGGAACACAGAGGGACCTCCTGTTCCATAACATGGTGCCTTTTGGATATGCAAGCCCAAAACTACATTGGCTTTTTTTTTTGCTGACATATCACAGCAATATCAGGTATAGAAATATCTTCCTTCTCAAGTAAAAATGTACAAAAAGGGACCACCTACCATCAAAGCTTTTTTGAAAAGTTTTTGAAGAACTGAAGCGGTACTGCATCATCCCTGTAGCAATATAGGACAGGTGACACTAGAGAATAGGCAGGGGGCGTGGATATCTAAACATACATATGCCAAAGAGCCTCTTCTATAAATGTCCCAAACCTCATGGATCCCTGGCTTTACCCAGAGACTGTCCCTGCCTCCGTTAGGTGCAACCTCTGGAGTAGATAAGAGGAACATGTGCCACTGACAATATATTATCTTGTTTAAGTCTTCTTCATTGTGGCTGTAGGATGAATACACTCTCACTTTTTGCCATCCTTAAACCGTATATCACTGCTGCCTTGTCATGGCTCTGGCCACTTCCAGCACATCTGAATCCACTGCCTTTGAACATGGCTTCACACAGCACACATGGGGAGTCAATGTTCCTTAGAGCAACATATGTAGCATGTCAATATAACATGTGCCCTGTTTCCAATAGGAAAATGCTGTATACAGCAGACTGTCACATACTCTTTTCCTGCAGTTAAAACACATTTGTCTTTAGCTTTGAGGGTCTGTCACCATAAGGGCTTGTGGCAGCTAGGAAGGGGCATACTGCCATACCAGAGTCACCGAGTCACATTCCATTCCACATTCAAGTGGGTACAATCTTCATCCATTGGATCCCTTCCATGCAACGTACAAAGGAACATACTGTAGGGGTTAAAGGATGGTGCCTGGAAATCTGGTACTTTTGACATTTTTGTTAGTATGCCAGTGCTTCCACCTGCTGACTATTCTGATCATATTCAATGCTCTGGATTAGTACAGTACAGGTCCAACACAGATATTTTTGGTTAAAAGAGTTCTATCTATATCACATGCAGCTAAAGAATATAGTGAAAATACATACGAGAAATCCCTACTTGTTGTTTTCTTATTGCTGGACCAATATTCAGTTTCTTATCCTTATAATTAAGTTTTTCAGCCTAAAACAAACAAAGAAAAACACTTAATATTCAGTACTTTTATTTTTTATTTTTTGGGTGCATATAACTACTGAAAGTAAAACTAGAAGTAGATGATAGTGAACACACCCAACAAGCTTCTTTCAGAGCTCTGATAGTGTACCTCAAGTACTAAGAAACACAACACTTTTACTATCTAAGTCCTTGGCTTCATTTTGCAAAAATTACCAATTGTGCTCCAATATGTACATGGTGCTTATTGTGAATTGGGCAAATGCTCACTAAAATTTACTTCTGAATGCCAATGGAGTTTCCTGACCAGCTACCAGAGACACAAATAATTGCTAGTAAAAATGCCAGTTTTACTTTTTTTCTTTTAAAAACAAATGTCATTATAAAATATATTTGAGTTTACTTTAAAAAAATTAACTATATTAAAACATGCAATTAATACACTGAAAGGCTACTATATATTTTATAAAGGATGACTGCAATAATTCAGCTGGTGTGCTGTAAATTCACACTCTGAGACTTGCAGCACAGCTGTGCAGGTTAGCGTTGTCTACACTGGGGGTTAGGTCAGCTTAACTACGCCACTCCGGGGTATGGATTTTCACACCCCTGAGTGACATAGTTAAGCTGACTTAATTTTCTAGTGTAGACCAGGCCAAAGTGTAAATTAAAGTAGGATGGGGCTACTTTTATTTACATCTTCTTTCAGCTCCTCATCGTTTAAAGGAAAACAACAAAGTGACTGCAAAAAATACTGTCAAATTCACAAAGTAAACCAACTGCAAACTTTTGCTAATCTCTTTCATTTATAGTAGATGTAAGTATTACTTTGCATCTACACTAGGTAAAACAAAAATAAGACAGCAATGTGATTTTTAAATTGTAAGTGTCCCTTTTATCCTGCTTCTGCAAAAGGAAATCTGGAGGAACCAGATGGCCTGATTCTCCATTTCCCTGAACACTTTGTAGTCATTTACACCAGTGCAAATGGGTGTAAAATCAGAATCAGGACCCAAGTTTTCACTGCCAGAGCTAGGAGGTCCAAGTACCAGATACAATATATCCATTAGGGAGCTAACAATAAAACCTCAAACCTTTTGCAGTTTTATTATCCAGAATATTTATTTAAAGAAAGATATAAAAGGAAATGCATAAAAATATCAGTTCCAGTCCAGTCCAAAGGCAACAGTCAGAGAACAGAATACTTTCCTCCTCTGGGCCCCAATTCAGCAAGATATTTAACCACTTGCTTGACGCTAAGCACTGTCTACGTGCTTAAAAGTTAGGCATGTGCTTTCCTGAATTTGAGCTCTGGAACGCAAAGGATGGTACTATGTATTCTCTTTCATGGCAAATAAACCTATTTAATGGAAAGCAGCTAGTAAGACATAACGAGTGTACAGTTTCCAGAGCTAAATTGCTTCCTGACACAGGTGGTGGGAACAAGCTCCTCTCTGATGATTGATGTTATATATTACATTGGTATTATCAGTCAAAATTTGGACTGCTTATATATATATATATATATATATATATATTATTTTAACTAGAGTTGGTCAAAAATGGGAAATACCATTTCATTAAAATTGCATTAAGAATTTCCCAGCTCTTTGAATAAAATTTTCAATAAAATTTCAATATTTTAAAAATTTCAACCAGCTCTACTTGTTGATAGGCTGCCACTCAGTCTAGAAGAGGCTTTGCTTGAGGTAACATCCTCTGGTCTTCTTCAGGGAACTTCATGAACACAACTGAGCCCATGACTGATCCAGCCAACATAGCCCAAGCAGGCCAAGAGAACAGGTTGCAAAAGGCTAAGGTGGTGGAGCCATCATGGCTTCCTATATCCTAGGAGAAGTACGAGAGGGAATATCCTGGCAGTTAAGAAAGGTCCATTCTGGGGCAAACCTCATATTCACAGGAGCAAGAATTAAGTGTATCTGGAAGTGGGCCTCAGATATCTCAGAGGTTTTTGAGTGAACCTCAGTGGTTCCTCCTTGATGAGCGTAAGGTTAACTTCAGTTTCCCTCAGCCTAAAAATATAGTCTCTTTTACAGATGTCTTATGACTGCTGGATTCTCTACTCAAGGAAATCAGAGCACCAGAAGGAACTGGATTCACAACAAACTTCAGATCCAAGCGAGTAGTATACACAGAAGAGGCTGGAAACAGCTCTCTACAAAGTTAAGGTACCTGACACTGAATCATCACCTTCACCTGCCTTAGTCAGCCCCAGAGACTCCCAGAACCCACCCTCCCTTAAAACTAAATCTCTGAGATGTCTTCTTAGATGTTCTGTGGGTTCAGAAGGGAAACTAATGCTACTGCTGCTTCTCTTCATTCTTCTGTACAAAGAAAGGAAAGCAACAAATCTGACCAACCGGCCCACAGACATCCTGGGCTTCTTTAATACCTTCAAATCCAAGCAGGTAAACACAGAAGGGACAAATATCCATTGGTAATGGATGTCTGCAAGCACTAATTTCAAATTGAAGAATTTACCTAAACAATGAGTATAATGATGAATATATCATCTTACCTCTTGCAAAATTTTTTGTGCATCTTCTTGAGTTTCAAAAGTGATGAAACCATACCTAAATAAAAATTACATAAATTATTTTTCTTGGCATACTACTTTATAACCAAAACCATGTTATAATATATATATTATATATTACATATTACACAAAATACTATGTTAAAACATTAAGTTTGAAAAGTAAAGCACTAAGAAGTTATGAAATGACAAATAAGGTTGCCTTGACAACCTTAATTTGGCCCCGAATGCGTATGAACTATAATAGTCTTTAATTACATGATCACATTCTATTTTTCTCACAGGACCACTGTCTCATTCGGTGAACAGTGCTTAATGAGCAGCTAGTCAATATTTTGTTTTATCCTCATTGTTCAATATATGACCCTGCTCTGAAGACAGAATTAACATCCTCATGGGCTTTTTTATGGTGGTCATCACTATAATATGACCGCTTTACAAACATTAATGAATTTATTTTCACAGCACCTGTGAGATGAGGGGGTATTATTATCCACATTTTACAGATGGGGAACTGAGTCACAGAGAGATTAAAGTCAAAAGTATCCACTACATTTTGGTGCCCAATTTACTGTACACTATCCAAACCCTTCTCTGAAGGCATAATTATTAATATCCTCATAGGCTTTTCTATAGCACTGGCCATTAGCATTTTAATTCTTCACTAATATTATTAATTTTCACAGCATTCTGTGAGATGACAGAGTGGTATTATCCCTATTTTAGAGATGGGGAACTCAGGCACAGAAAGTTTAAGGTAAAAGTTCTTCACCAATTTTGGATGCCCAATTTGAGACACCTGTGACCAGATTTTTCAGCACACTTAGCATCATATAGCATTTTGTATATTAGACACAGGTTCCTATTGACATCAGCTGATGCTGAGCGTGCCTAGCACTTCTGCAAATTAAACACCAGGGTAACAAGTAGGGCACCCAGAAAATGAGGAATACACAATTAGCGATCACCTGTGAAGAATTTGGTTTAAGTGACTTGCCCAGCATCACCTAGAAACTCTGTAACATAGTCTGGGATAGAATCTCATTCTCTAGAGCAATATTTAACTGCTTTAACTATGAAATCATCCTTTTTCTTCCTGCTGTCCACTGCCTCATTCACTACAGAACTTCCAATTTCTGCAACAAATAAAGCTGGGGACTTATAGACAACAACCTCCTTCACTACACAACCTGATTCATTCCCACAGCAGGTCCATCCTCTGCCATGAATGAGACAGGGGTCCTGTGGAAAAATAGTGTGTGATTATGTAATTAGAGAATGTATTATCATGCATATACACAAGAGAGCACTTACTTTTGAGTGCTTGCCTTTGCAATCTTAATGTTCTTTTAAACACCGTTTTTTATTTTAAATTTTAAAAAAGCAAACTGAAAAAACAAACTGATATCCACATAGTTCATCAGCAGGGTTGGACTCTACAGAGTCTGTGAATCCATCACACAGTCCTCTGTCACTTGAGATAACTATGTAACTGATAGCTGTGGTGGTAAGTTGTCATCCTCTGTGTGGACCGGAATTAGAGAAGAATGAGACACACACGTAACCTGTCGGTTTCAAATGTATTTGGTAACAGCAGAATAATGGTGAGACACAGGGATCATGGGTTCCATTCCAGGCTTTGGAGGGAAGTTTATTGTAGTTCGCACAGACTCTTCTGCAGACTTTTTGCTTTCGCACCCTAGCTTCTTGTTCCAGTCCAATTCTTCCTGTGTACCCAGTCCCAGTTTCCACTCCTCAGATTTCTAAACTCAGTCTCAGACTATTTACTTAGTCAGTGCAAATCTCCCCCCACTCCCAGTATCTCCCCCTCCTCACACCCTGTCCCAGTCCCCTTGCCCAACCAGTCCTCTTTTTCACCATTTCAGGCTCCTCAGCCAATCTGCCTCTCCCTTCTTACACCACTATCTCTTAGTCATAGTCTTCCTCTCTGGGTTCCTCATCCAGTCTCATCTCCCACCCCTCCCTGTCTCCTGATCTCAGCCTTTTTGCTCAAATAGTCCCAGTTCTATCCCTGTGCCACAGTTCCTTGACAGATGTCTCCCCTCCCCAGTTTCCTTTTCCACATTGGTTCCTAATCCAAGTCTCCTTGTCCAGCTACTCCCAGTCCCCTCTCTCACCCCATCCAATCTCACTGTCCCGCTCCCCCCTAGCCAACAAGTTCCAGACCCACCATTCCTCTCACCAGCTCCCACTCCCAGTTTCCTTGCCCAGCTAGCCCCGATCTTCGCCCCACCCCAACTCCCACTTTTTCTCGTTTCCTCCCACTAGCTCCCCCCTCTAGCTCTTGTCCCTTCTGCATCTGAATCAGGCAACTTCCTCTTCCATGCTGCAGGGCCCAATCAGGGCGGGGAGGGGTATGTGTGTGTCATTAAGAACACAAGAGAGAGAGTTTCCCTGTTCCAAGTTCAGGTGCCTGGACCCAGCATGCCCATAGCAGCCCAGAGCCAAACTGCACGGAAAGTCCTGCTCATCCCTGGGCTGCAGTGTGCCCAGAGTGACTGGAATCTTCAAGGATGTAGTTGCTAAAATCAAAGTCTCTACTGAGCATGTGTAAACTATGATTTTTCAAAGGCTTGTAACTGAGCCAAATTTGGGGCAATTTTAATGGGAATGGCAAAAGGAACATCCCTGACACAAAGGACACCCCTCCTGCCAAATCTCAAGTCTCCAAATCCCAAATCTCCAAAGCATGGGGGCACTGGAGCTTTTCAAAGAAAAGATCATCAGAGTTTTTTAAAATGGGCAAAATAATGTATTTTTTCCTAGCTTGAGACAGATAGCTGTCATGCAAAATTTCAGCCAAAATGGTTAAAATTTGGCAAAGTTATAAGCAATTGAAAATGGGGTATTTACGATGGGAAGTGCCGAGCAACCTTCGTAATAGGAGGAGCTACAAGACTCATCTGTAATGATTGTAAACCTATCAAGTTTTACTTTTTAAGGAAGAAAAAAAACAACACTTATAAAAGGAAGTTGGGACTCTATTTAAAAATGATAGCATATATGGAAGTCCTGGCTAAAGTTCAAAATGATAGTAAGGGGAGCTGCAAACTCATAATGAACTAAATCATTAAAAAACAAAAGCATTTTGGCTAATAAATATAAAAGCCAAGCAATTGTGAACTTCCAAAAACTGTGTAATATTCAAAATATGTAACAGTAATACAATTATATCTGAAGATACCGATAGAAAACTGTTTACTGCAATTAGGTACATTCATAGTGGCATTTCCTGCATACCAATATTTCTACTTCATTCACACTGACATCTCTCTTAAGGATTCATTGCTAAAGCTCTTTTGCAGTGCCAAAGTTCCTTTGCAGAGTCTATGGCTTTAAAGTTCTTTTAAAATATCAGGAAAATTCAATACAAAACCAATGTTAATAAGTGTTAAGATTCAGAAATCAAGCAAACTGTGGCCAGGTGTAGAGGAGTTATCTATTCTGCAGTACACAGGAGCTTAACTTCAGTTTCCTTTCTCTTTTCCCTACACAGCTGCTCTGGGGAAGGGCAATAAGAAGATCTTATTGAAGAGACTGAAGCGAAAATACCTGTGGGAAGAAAGGGTGCTACACCAAGGTACTGAGTGAACACTATGTTGGGGAACGTTTTTGTAATAGATTTTTTGCTTATGTTGAGAAAAAATTTACACCTGCTGAAAAATCTTGTTTGTTATAGCAGTTTTATTGCTGCTAAATCAACCTACCAGCTTAAAACAGATAAGTAAGTTAATTCAAAATGTAAGGTTTCTACAGCAAACTTTCCTCATCCACATTTCATGTTTGTTATTTATTATTGGCATTCTGGTAGCATCAATGTGCTAGGTGATGATTACACACCAAGGAAGATACAGTCCCTGCCATAAAGAGCTTCCAGTCTAAGAAAAAAAGCAACATAAAAACTTTGAGGGAGAGGAATGGATTAAAGTAGGTAAGCAAAATATATACTCTTCAGCTACCCCTCCATCTATTAATATTAGTCAGCTAGCTTCTTTTAGGTATCAAGGCTGAAGTAGAACTGAAGCAGAGATTTGGAGGATAGAGGAAATGCCTTATGGATCAGTTCAGGGAAGGAATTGTGTGTGTTACCAAGGGGTGCACTGGAAGAAAACACGAAAACCACTGTCAGAGAGGTAGACAAATGGAGGTGGCAACAGAGGCAGGTGCAGACATTGGGGATACCATGATGAGAGACAAAAGTAGTTAAGTAGGGAGTCGCAGAGTTGGTAACAACCTTGAAGGTGAGGAGAAAAGCTCCTCTCCTGGTGTGGGGCAGAAGCTTCTTCTTTTCTGTGTTCAGAGTGAGTTTCAGAGATGCAGTGACAAGGGACAAGGATGAATGAAGCTGCAAATTGTCTCACATCTGCAAACTTAAGGTGCTGAAAACTATGACAGCCTTGTACATAAGAATGGATCTAATACTTATGCAGGTACTCCATACCCCCGATTACAAGGGTCTTACTGAAACTCTTCGATGTGCTGCACAGAACTCACAGCTCAGGGGAAAGCAATGGTAATTTTACACCACTTTTACACACTCCTGATTTTGTGCTGCTCTGTGGCCCCTGGCACACACCCCTAGGGGCTTGGCTAAGTCATGGCAGCGTGTCCCCAGTTACCTATATGCAACATAAATGTTTGCAGTGCTACATGTTGTGGCCCTGCCAGCAACATGTCCCTTCCTCCCTGCCCCCGGTATGCCCTCTGCACTAGAGCTTGCAAGCGGCTCCTCAGAATACAGGCTTAGTTCCTGAGCTGGGGGAATCTGTTCCTGATTGGATTCAGGTTTTTAGAGCTCCTTTATTCCACTCTGACCCTTTTACATGATGTAAAGGGGCCAGAATGGGGATGAGGTTCTCACTCATATTGTAACACAATGGACTTTCTTGCCAGTGAAACTCCAGGTTAAAGGGAGGTCTAAGTGCTTAGAGAGGAGGAAAATAGTGACGCTAACCATATATTTATTAACACCACCATTCTGGGACACTGTAAGAAAGAAAACAAATGAACTGAAACTTGAGTGTTTCATATAATGCGATGCCAGTAATAATGTTATAAGCCATGAAAATCACAATCAACTTCTATTGCACTTATTCCACTTACTATGATGTTTTCAGTGTCCACAATGGATATATTGCAACTGTACTAACCCCTTTGATACTCCAGCTCTGTCATTTACTATCTTCACTTCTTTCACACACCCATACTGGGCAAAAAACTTCCTTAGGTCATTTTCATTAGTCTAGTAAAATAAAGCAAAAGAACAAAATGAATATAAATGGGTTTGTTTAGTTATTAAATAAGAAATAACCACAATATTGCTTTGGTTTGGACACATTTAACGATAAACTACTTGTAAATCCTGGGAGCAACTATTTATTAAAAACACTAGAAACAGAGAAAAGCCTCCAAGGTGAATGTTTCTGTGACTGTTTTGGGGAGACGGTGGGTGTGGGTGTGGAGGCAGGGCTGGGGTGTGAGAGCAAAAGAGAGAGAGCAGGTAATAATCTCAGTTTTTCTCCTACATGATTTTAATCTTCAGAAATAAATCTAAGTATCTACTGAATTTATATTATAATTTTACTTCAATAATCTTGTAACTCAATTATATCTGAATTCCATTTGGTCTCAGACAAGTTTTTCAGTTCTATATTTTAGTGTCGTTTATAACATGAGGCATTATAATTTAGAGATCATTTTAAAATTTAAAACTGGGCATATGTGCGTAGACTTCCATGAAGAATTTGCTAAGTTTGAAAAACAATCATTAAGATACAGTGAAGTTATTAGCCCATATTATGCAGGTCAAACTAAATTATCATAATGGTCCCTTTTTACCATAAAGTCTATTATTGAAACACTGTACCACAGATGCATAATATGTTCATTTTCTGTACTGATAAAAACATGCATCAAGTATTGTCTTCCAGAAGATTTATGTATCTAGAAGTACAGAGATTGAAACAAATACACCAGGCATTTGAATGTCTGATCCTGTGTGATTGTTGATTTGGCATGTGTTGAATCTCATGCTTCAAGGAAGTGTGCTGGTGCACATTGATCTTTGGATGCCTCAAGCCACTCCTGGATGGATCTAGAGTTCTCAGAGCCTCAAGAAGTATATCAGAAGTTTTAATGTGTTTCTTTGATTCACCAGTCGTTTTTTAAAATGTATGGTATATGTTGGAAAAATTATTCTTCCACTTCTCCAAGGTTTACACTGCCTTGTATATGCCTCTAAGGAGCAGGGGAGTTTTTACTGATTACAGAGTTAATATAAGTTATCATAATGGTTGTGTCATTGAGACATTTGATGAGTACTTTTTTGGAAGAATTTTATCTTCAAGATGTATTTTATAAAAAAGGTGCTATTTCTTGGTGCTGCAAATTCAACCCCACCAAAAAACAGAGACAGCGAAACTGTGTGCAGCCACAGAACTTCAAAAACACAGGGAAGAATAGTAGGCAAGAGTAGATCTGAGCAGGTAGGAAATGTACTCCAAGGACTCATTACAAGTAAGAAGTCTTCCTCTCTGCTTTGAAAATTAACCCCACTGAGTCCCACTGAAGATTAAAGTAACAATCCACCAAAGGAGGGCTTAAAAGTACTAACAAAACAGAGACTGTAGAATTGCTCTCCTGACTTGAATATCACACCTAGTCCCTAAATCCAAGAATAAAGTTTTGTAAACATATGAATACAGCTCTATATAGCAGCTTTATGAATATCTGTCAACAACATTTCTCAGAGATGCTGTGTAACCTGCTTTAAACAAGATGTACTGTACTCCTCTCTTTGGGTAGTGATTCTGTATACAAACTTTTCTAATCCATAGAAAACAGTCTCTGAGAAGAAGCTGCCTTCCCCTTGGATTTGTCTACAAAGATCAGTGTAATGGTATACTCACATCTAACTCGAAATTCAAGGCATATTTAATTTGTGCAATTAAACTTTTAGGTTTAAGAAAATATGATCATAGTTATAAATTGGTTTAAGTGAAATTCTGAAATAACATTTGGTGAGAATTTACGGTGCGAGCATTGTACTGTCTTATCATGGAAACCGGTGTGGAAAGGGATGAATTTTACTCACTCTACTGGATGATGTACGAGCCAGCCAAACCAGTTTTCAGGGAAAGATTCCCCAATGGCATAAAAGGTTACACAATGTTCTGGTCCCAAGAAAATGATGGTTCTCATATAAGGGGGAAGACGTGTAGCCAGGTCTCCCCAAACACAATGTCAGACCATGCCTATGCCTCCCAATGGGGTCTAAACCCAAATAAATCCATTTTACCCTGTATAAAGTTTATGCAGGGTACACTCATAAATTGTTCGCTCTCTCTAACACTGATAGAGAGATATGTATGGCTGTTTGCTCCTCCAGGTATTAATACATACTCTGAGTCAATTAATAAGTAAAAAGTGATTTTATTAAATACAGAAAGTAGGATTTAAGTGGTTCCATTGTCCTTTAAGTGTCTCTTGATCAGGTACTTAACTTCAACATTCCTTTCTCCAGGAACTGACCAAATGCTCTACTAAGGTTATTTAGAAATCAAGCCAGTACACAGCCAATATTCATAACTTCGAATACAAAAATGATACATGCATACAAATAGGATTAATAGATTCAGTAGATCATAACCTCTGAGATACGTTACATGGCATATGTAGCATAAAACACATTCTAAGCATATTTCCATAAAGCTTTATGGGAGGTACCGTCACCAGGGTATTAAGCTCCAAGTTACAAGATACAATAACTTCAGATATAGATGTAGAATGTCAACTAGACTTAGGATGACCAGATATCCCGATTTTATAGGGACAGTCCTGATATTTGGGACTTTTTCTTATGCAGGCACCTATTACCCTGTATCCCCATCCTGATTTTTCACATTTGTTATCTGGTCACCCTAACTAGACTATGAGAAAGGAGATTTGGAAGAACTGGTAGATGGGCCTAGTCAGAAGGTTAAAGAATTAAACTTGCCATACGATGAAGATTATATAAATTCTGTCTTACTATATATCTCTAGGAAGTAAAGGCAATGAGGGAACCTTGGTTTCAATCAAGGAGCAAGCTTCCTTGCCCACAAAACAGAAATGTGGACAACCTGGTGATGTCTCTTGTGGCAAAGAGGTCCATATTTAAGGATTCCCCACTTCTGTGTCCACAGAGTTCTTCAGAAACAATTTGAATTGTACACTGAGCATGCAGCTCAGTTTGTCCACCAGGATGCTTTCCTCGCCTATGAGAAACTTTATTTAAGCCAAAATATCTTGAGGCATGGTCAGAGTCTGTTGAGGCCTATTACCAGTGCAAAAGGAGTTTCAGCTTAGTTCTGGAGAATGTGGAAGACATATGTACATGAGACCATGATCACCAGAAACCTTAGGAAATATCATATTGTGTCCTGCGGTCTCATGAATATAATTTTCCTCTGGACTGAAATTGTCCTGTGGTCTCTTGCAGCTAAGCTGCTACAGAGAAGCAAAGACATGAAGGGAAACAGGAATAAAACAATGATACTAGATTTAATGCATAGTTATCAAGTGTCCAGTCCAATATGATGTCTAGAAGTTTACTAGAACTTCTAGCTTTTTTGTTGGCTCCTGTACATATCAGAATGCAAAGGCTATTGCTGTGTTCTTTAAAAGTGCTAATGTTGAGCGATAGGCTAAATCTGAGATGCTTGGCTCTGGCACTAGAGAAAGAGGACTGATTTACTTTGAAAATAGGATGTTAAAGACCATAGACTTGGCCTCTGTAAGCTTTCTAAGCCTTATCTGTCATTCTGCTGAACAGAGTGGAGCTTACAAATGAAAGAGACTGGAATTCTTCAGTCACAAATTGTGCATCAAGAATAACTGCTGTGGTGATTGTATCAGAGGAAATGAAAGCAGTAGAACTGGTTGGAAAGAGGAAACATTTTTTGTGAAAATTTTACTGAAAAACCTGTCTGTTTTTCCATCAATTTTGAATTTTTTCAACCAGCTCTAGCAAGCGGCTCTCAAGGAGTATGACACTCTCTGGCCTTTGGAAAGATTTCCTCCCAGATTGGGAGGATCTAAGATTGGCAGGAATCTATCCTAGGTTTTGAATCCACATCTCACTAAGCCCATTTGGTAGTAAGCTTAGCTGAAAGGGTTATTTCCCCTTTCCAATGAAATTCATATTCCTTACTCTCACTTTCTGAGGGAGAGATGACCTAAAGCTTTCCCACCTTTAGACCTCTCAGCTACTGCACAAACAATTAGACACCCTTCATCAGACAGGATAAGTATAAAACTTATTTGAAATACTGATGGTCCCTGACCTAGCTAGCCACAGGAAAGACAAAATCGGGAGGGAGACAGAAGTCTTTACCAGAATATTTTTTTATACAAAGAACTACTCTGCCCTCCTAGTGAAGCTCCAAATATACTGAAGAGCCTGTACAATTTCGTCTCAACAGTAAAAACATGAATTTCCAATGCCTGAGCCACATGATTAAAAAGATCCTGGAAGCTCTTGTAATTATTATGCAAGATATGCTGGGTAAATTGTCAGCCATAATGATGGACAAGATGAATATCCTCCATATCCATTCTTTTCTTTCTCTTAATCTGAGTCAGTGCTCAATGGGTCCTCTGACTAACTGCATTAAGGCAGAGAGGATACTGATGGTGGGAAAGAAGGAACAGCTAAACAGACCAAAAGAAGCAGAGGTCCACTGTTCTAAAGTGGTAAAAAAGAAAATGAGAGCAGCAGGGAAATCACCAAATGTTCAGATCAGCAAAGGAGTGTGCATATGGCCCCATATTTATTGCCTTTCGGAGGGTCCAGAGCATGTAGCATCAAGGCTGCATGTGTTCAGTTAGGATATGTACTAGCAATACTCTGTGGCAAATCCTTAAACAAACATGCTTACTTTTCCTAGATATTACCCTGTGTAACAGGATGGCTTGCCCCTTTATGGGTCACAGGCCTGTGCCCAGCCAACCCTGATTACTGAAGAGGCACACGTGAGCGAGATTAGCTAGCAAGAAATAGAAGAGGAGGAGGTAGAGAGAGAGTTGTAGAGACTACCAAAGAGAGGAGGCTTAGTGGTAGCTTTGGAAGATATACTCCTCAGGGCAGAGACTAAGGCTAGCAGGGTAACTGCCATATTGTCACTTTGGTTTGCTGTTTTGGAAAATGAACAAAAGCCTGGTCAGAACGGCCTGTGAGACTGTTCGTGTGTCTATTTGGTAGCACAGCCCTGAGGGAGGGGGAAGTTGATGGCAGGGCACTGCAGAGGCATCTCAGGCAATGAGGGGGTGCACAGGAGACATGACCCCACAACGAAGGAAAGAAAATATGCTTAACTTCCTTTTATTGTGAAATGGATGAAAAGTCAACAGAGCTGAAGATACAGATACTTACTAATAATATGGAGATGTTTGTTATCTACAGTACTGTGCTGTGTAGAAAAAAGGAATAAGGAGATTTTGTGATTCAAAGATGATTAATGTAGTGTACTAGATTATACATTTTTAGAGAAGAATTTAAAAAAATACTTCTAGATTGTCATTTTTAGCGTTATCTACAAAACATCTGTATTACAAATAACTTTTCAGATATTTTTAAAAAGAATGCTTGTAGCAGTTCAATATGCAAATAAAAATCACCATTTTTCTGTGGCAAAATCAGATAAAACAGAATTTTAAGGCTTAGTTTACACCTCTAATTAGGATATTATTGCAAAGACCACCATCATCTCACAGCCTTATATACACTTATACCTAAAATGCATAAAACTAATGAATATATAAAGTAAGACTAATAAAGAAAAAATATCAAAACATTTATTCTATTACTTATCTACCAAGATTAGAAAAAAATACCTTAAAATCGATTCCTCCTACAAAGATGCGATTAGGAATAACTGTTCCAAATCTTGGGGCACTCGTTGGGTTATTTAAAGGCACAGGTGACACAGTGTTGGGGGATGGAGACAAAGATTCTGCTTGTGTCTGATTTGTGGTTTGCTGTTTGAGAGAAAAATATTTTTGTAAAATTTATTTTTGACATTTTGTAGAGTATAAACCACTAAAGCAAAAAACATCCACACAGAAAAACATGTGGAGATTCTTTCAGAACACACAACATACTGAACAGTCAAACGTTTACCATGATTTATTTATTTCTAACCAATGGCAATTATCCACAATTCTTCCTGGGCCCTTATTCAGGCTTATTCAGTAAGGTACTTAAACATGTACCAAATAAGCATGTCATGTGCTTCAATACCCTACTGAATTGGGCCTCAGACTAAGATCTTTGGGTTACGGTCTATTTTTTATTTTGTTTGTACAGCACCCTGCACTATGGGGGCCCAATCTTGACTAGACCTTCTGTTGCTACTGTAATATAACATATAATAATGAGGAGCGCCTTACTTTAAACTGACAAAAGGCAGTCATCATCCACCACAGGATAGGATTCCCACTGCACTCCAATCATGAATAACAGAACTGGAATGGACCTTCTGTCCAACCACATGTCTCACAGACTGGACTCTGCACTATACTATGCTTTCTATGCATTTCCAAAATTATGTGCCTTGAACACATCTTGTGCCTGATTTTCAGAAATGCTAAGCACCCACAACTCCAAATGAAGTCAATGGGAGGAACAGGTGCCCAGCACTTGTAAAGATCAGGCTCCCAGGGCTGGATTTTCTGGTCCAGTAAGGCCACTTCGCTTTTCTTACACAGTGCAAAATGGCCTTACATTGGCTGTAAATTCTAGCAGACAATCCCCCCACAGTGCACGGGGAGTCTCTGCTGGTGTAAAGCTGACAAAGGCAACATAGTTGCCACCAATGCCAACTACACCTTACCCAGCCATAAGGGAAAGGGTAAGGCATAGCTTGCTGGAGCATGAGCATAGTGGAAGTTAGAATAGCTGCCCTACTGTTCTAATTTCCTTTGGTTTGGGCAGCCAAGGATCAAGAGACCATAACCAGCTCCCTGCAGCTGCCACTGTTTGACTGTCTCTATTTTAAAAAGGTTTAACATCCAAACTAAGGCCTGGTCTACACTACGGGATTAATTTGGATTTAGCAGCGTTAATTCGAATTAACCCTTCACCCGTCCACACAACAGAGCCATTTAGTTCGAATTAAAGGGCGCTTTAAATCGATTTCTGTACTCCACCTCGACGAGCGGAGTAGCGCCAAAATCGATTTTGTTAATTCGAATTAGGGTTAGTGTGGCCGCCACCACCGAATTAATGTGGTTAAAATTAATGGGGTAGTGTGGCCGCACACCACCGAATTAATGTGGTTAAAAACCGAATTAATGTGCTTAGTGTGGCCGCGCACAATCGAATTTATACAACCTGTTTCCCAAATTCGAATTATCTAAATTCGGATTAATCCCGTAGTGTAGACATACCCTAAGTGTATCCTTGCCTTACTCCAGTTTAGCAGTATCCTGTATAAATAATTTTTTCATGTAATCCTAAAGTATTATATATGTATGTTTTCAAATCACCCATTATGCATTATTTTTTGTCTTTCTGCATAAAGTTAAAGTCTCAAAATTATCCTTATGACTGCCAGTATTTAAACTCTTTTTTTGACTTTTTTCATATCAATTTTCATGTGTAGGAATCCGAAGAACAGTGGTTGAAATCCTGACTACATCGAAGTCAATGACAAAACATCTACTGACTTCACCTAATATTCCTGATGCAGTCTTACTCACACAGTAAGGAGTCATGATACTAATTTAATTTTATAAGTTATTTCTCTTCTAACATTGTACAACTGCTTGACCCATTAAAAATGGGTATCATATTTTGTGCACTTGCTTTCAATTTGTTATCCCACAAAAGTTCTCCATATTCGTTTTATAGACATATTCTGCCAAGCTATGATCTTGCATCTTTTCATATTGGAACTCCTACAATTAAGTTTTAATTTCCCCAAATACCTTGCTCCCTCTGAATTTTAGCATTTCATCTTTTGTGTATTACTTCTCAGTTTTGTTTCATCAGGAAATAAATGTAAGATAATGTTTAACTTATTTTCTTTCAGGACATTATAAGATATACTGAATAATAGTGACCCCAATACAAGGCCCTGCAGAACCTCCAATATCTCCATTTTCCCCCTTCCTCATGAGGCTGTTCCTTCTCTGAATTCTCAATGAGTTTTTTGGAAAAATTCAAGTAGTGTTCAATGCAAGGAAAAACTCTTCACATGAGAACACAATAGTAAGATTGAGAAAGAATTTTAGCACTCAGAAGTCACGAAACTCCCAAAGTTAAAGTTGTTCTTGCAATTAACTTTGCAATGATCCACATATATAGCATTTCTTTTATTCTTTTGACTTAAATTTAAAAAAAAAACCACACAATGTTTAACCTACTATTGATATAACACCTATGAGTTCTATAAGTAAAAGGTAAGAGAAAAATTATCTATTTTTTGTTTTTGTATATTTGAAAACACTTTGCCTTAATTTCAGTTTACCCTGAATACTGAATTAGTCAATTTCCCTTTTCTATTTATCAAGCTATTTATATAATCATAGGAAGGTAAGGCTGGAAGGGACCTGGTCCCAAAGTCCAGCCGCCTGCACTGAGACAGGACCAAGTAAACCTAGACCATTCCTAACAAGTGTTTGTTCAACCTGTTTTTAAAAACCTCCAATGAGGGGGCTTCCACAACCTCCCTAGGAAGCCTATTCCAGAAGTTAACTACCCTTATTAAGTTTTTCCCAATATCTAACCTGCATCTCCCTTGCTGCAGAGTAAGCCCATTACTACCTGTCCTACCTTCAGTGGCAGGGCTGGCTCCAGGGTTTTTGCCGCCCCAAGCGGCAGGGGGAAAAAAAAAAAAAAAAGAAAGCTGCGATCGTGATCAGTGGCACTTCAGTGGCAGGTCCACCGCGCTGCTTTCTTCTTCGGCGGCACTTCGGTGGCAGGTCCTTCCCTCCGAGAGGGACCGAGGGACCCGCCGCCAAATTGCCGCCGAAGACCCGGACGTGCTGCCCCTTCCCCTCGGCCGCCCCAAGCACCTGCTTGCTGCGCTGGTGTCTGGAGCCTGTTCAGTGGGCATGAAAAACAATTGATACAGCCCTCTTTATACTAATCCTTAACATATTTGAAGACTGTTATCATGTCTCACCTCAGTCCTCTTTTCTCAAGACTAAACATGCCCAGTTTTTTTAAACTTTCCTCATAGGTCAGGTTTTCTAAATCTTTTATAATTTTTGTTGCTCTCCTTTGGTCTCTCTCCAATTTATCCACATCTTTCCTTAACTGTGGTGCCCAGAATTGGGCACAGTACTCCAGTGGAGGTCTTACCAATGTCAAGTAGAGTGGGACAATTACCTCCTGTGTCTTACATACAACAATCCTGTCAATACACCCCAGAATTGTAATAGCCTTTTTTGCAACTGCACCACATTGTTGGCACATATTCAATTTGTAATCCACTGTAAACCCCAGTTCCTTTTCAGCAGTACTTCTACAAAATGCAAAATAACTGGTTAGGTGGTTGTACATTTGATTTTTTTCTTCCTAAGCATAGTACTTTCCACTTGTCTTCACTGAATTGATTTCACAGCAATTCTCTAATTTGTCCAAGGTCATTTTGAATTCTAATCTTGTCCTCCAAAGTGCTTGCAAACCCTCCCAGCTTTGTGTTATCCACCAATTTTATAAGCATATTCTCAAGTCATAAATGAAAATATTGCATAGTACCAGACCCACAAATGACCTCTACAAGACCCACTAGATAGCAAATAATTGACAACTATTATTTGAGTACAATCTTAAAACAAGTTGTGAGCCCATCTTATGGTAATTTCATTTTGACCACATTTTGCTAGTTTGATTATGACAATGTCATGTGGAACTGTCAACCTTACTAAAATCAAGATATACCATGTCTACTGCTTCCCCCATATCCACTATTCCAGTAACCCAGTCGAAGGAAATTAGGTTGGTTTGGCATGATTTGTTCTTGACAAATCCCTGCTGGCTATTCCTTATAACCCTATTATCTCTAGGTGCTTACAAACTGATTGTTTAAATTAATTTGTTCCAATATCTTTCCAGGCATCAAAGTTAGGCTGCCTGGTCTATAATTTCCCAGATACTCTTTGTTCCTCTTGTTAAAGACAGGTACTATACTTACCCTTCTCCAATCTTCTGGGACATCACCTGTCCTTCATGAGTTCTCAAAGATACATATAGGACTCCTATCATCCTAGTATATAAGCTCCTCACAATCATAAGTATTTATCCTCATAATACACTTGCAAAGTTCCCATCACCCCAATTTTACAGATGGGGAACTAAGCATAGAGACTGGACATGATCCAAATCCCACTGATCTCAATGGGAGTCTTTCCATTGATTCCAAGAGGCTTTGGATCATGCCATAAGTGACTTGCTCAAGATCATCCAGGAAGTCTGTGGCAGAGCTCGATATTGAAACCAGGCTTCCTGAGTCCCAGACCAGTGTCATAACCAAATTTCACAAATTCCCTCAAAAGAACTTGGTGTCTACATGTTTGGGATCAGCTTAATTACTCATTCATGTTGCATGTTCTGATTATGTGAATCACAGGATGGTTAATGTTTTTTCTGCCCTTATCATTAACAGCCGATTTATTTTTGCCACATCCTTGCTCCTGGTCAGCTCGTATATATGCTAGTGATCACACTCCAACTGTGTATTTCAGAGAGGATTTTTTAAGCCTGTGCTGAAACTGTAGAACAGACAAGTGTGACCGTTCTTGAGGCAGTTGATTGATTACTTTTCTGTCACTAATCGATGGCCTTGAGCCATTCCATTGATATGATGTGCTCTCCCATCCCTACAAACTAGCACCTAAAGTGATGATTCCATTGTGGGAGCCCACAGGCATCCCTTTAACTAGTTTTCAGCTTTCAACCAACAGCTTAAAGTATGACAGACATGGCAGCATTAGCAATTTTTGGAGGTCCTTAAGAGTTCAACTTCCACTGA